TATTCTTTTCTCGTAGTAGACGGCGCCTTTCCTTAATTATCTTATCGTATCTAGCGAAGAAGTCTATTCGCTCTATAATTATAAACCTTACTCGGATACTAGCTATAGAAGTAGCTTAGTGAAATGAAAGGATTTGGATGAGATAATGAGAGAGCTGGTTTATAGGGACATATTGTCCTTATATAGCTGAGACTTCGAGCTCGAGTCGGCCGCCGTACTAAAAAAAGATAGGGAAGTTTGATTAGACTATCCCTAATCGGATAGCCTTCGCCGTCTTCTTTGTGCCTGATAGATATGACGCGTTATTTTGGGGGCAAGGGATCCTCTAGAAAACGAGGGCGGCCCAAATATCGTTAACGCACTAACCATCACAGAATAAATGGCCCTATAGGGCCTATCTCTATTGGGTAAGGTCTAGATTGAGTTACACAAATCAGGGGTGCTCACTGAGCGTTACTAAGGTATCACTGAGCACTTACTGAGCACTCACTGAGCGATCTCGGAGCACGCACTGAGCATACCCAAGTACTCACTGAGCACGTCGCAGATTAGTCATCGTGCACGTGACCGAACTTGAGCATGCTCACTGAGTCTGAGCCCGTGCTGACATCTACTCACTGATCCTGAGCCTGAGCGCCCTTATAAAGCGGCAGCAGCCCAGATAGGAAAGGCCCCACCCGGCAGACATTATCCTGTCTATATAGCCGCATAGAAGTGCCACGAGAAAAGGGATTGCTACCTGTAATCAAAGTATATGTGCTGTTGATGGAGTAATATCTATGAAGTGGTAGAATTTAGACTCCGAAGCGGAACTCCCGAACCTTCTTCTGATAATAGAAAGATGCCAACAACCCAGTGGCACCAAGAGCGAGAGGCATAGCGGCCCTAGCCTTCGTCTTAATGATCCTAGGAATTGCAGAGCCTAGCAGGAGGATGCTGTTTCCCAGGGCAAGCTCAGTGCCGTAGTCCTTGTTCTCCTTGATCAAATAACCTAGTAACATGGTCTGTTTTAGAGAATTTTGGTACGCGGTAGCGAGGGTCTTCACTTACCAGAATAGGCATATGATACACCGAGTCCAACACCGGCAATCAAGGAAGGCGCTGATCGGGTTCGCAGAAAGCCAACGGTACCTCCGATAGGAACTGGTTTTGGTCAGATATGTTAACTTGTCTCGTTCCCCGCAGGTACTTACGAAGGGCTGCAAGGGTAAAGGAAGGATGTTCAGCCATAGTGATAGTTATGCACTTGAAATATGTAGTCCAAGTGAAGGTTCAGAATTTAGAAAGCTGTCCAGTGCCAGGGGCAGATCCCGGAGGCTCCCGAGGTCGAGTTCCGATGAGTCAGCGGGACCCTTCGGGAATTCGGGAACCCGAGCACCGAACTGGTTAAAGCCGAAGCCATACAACATATCATCCGACAATGACTTTATATTCTCAGTGAATATGCTATTTCAATTCTCGAAATGCATGCGCAAATTTTTGGAGTTATATGGGGTACAGGAATCATTTACGAGAAGCATTATCTATTCTTGCGCGGTGCTCATGACATGGAATGGTTTTATACTGCCAGTGCACAGAGGGTGATGTCACCCTAATTCTCACCGTCCACGTCATTGAGGACTATTTACTTTATAATCTTCTAATCTGTTGAATCTATTCATCTATATGGATCTATTGTTCTCATCCAGATTGATAGTTCATGTGTGTTTCCATCTGATTTGAATAGCGCTGAAAGCCTTGCCGATTTATAAAATGCCGTTCGGATATTGATCGCGATGGGAGGTAAGACCATCGATGAAGTGAAAAGCTATGCGATTCTACCACGGTATTTTTTGCTTTACGTTTTTACTTTTCGTATTGTATGACTAATTCATCTCTTCAGTCTATTTGTGACGGACTCGAAGATGCCGAGTTGCTCCGGTCAATTTACCACCTCCTTCAACGGATGAACCAAGTCTGCGCCGAGTAGACTTTCTCGAGTGCTCTTGAGGCGATCCTTGGCGCTGTGTTGGATTTTGTGACTGCGGTTGGGCTCCCGGCCACGTCCATAGGGTCTGACTGTACTTCCGGCATGTCATTATCCTCATCTTGCTGTTATTCAAACCCTCATTTTTGGACAGGGTTTGCGGGTGGATCTGATGAATGTTTCCTTTCGGATACGGGATCTACCAGCTTTATGGATACTTCGTTTCCTTAGTATATCGCGTATACTAGATAGAAACGGTTTTGTGAAATGGATAAATAGTTCCGGAATGCGCCGAGAGCAAATTTTATGAGGAGAGGAAGCGAAAAGAAGCAATTAGGTGAGAAGATATCTAGTCAACTCCTCAACTCTAGAAAATAAATGGAAGTTCATCACCTGACCAGTCAGCAGATGCAATTGACTTGAAGACAATGTAACCTATCTCTGGATCTCCGCTATATGATTGGGAAAATAGCCAAAATGCGCTAGACAGAAATACACAGCAATAAAACTCAGGAATATTTCAGCGGGTATTGCTCAAGGACAAAATTGAGAGTAATTTCAGTTGTGCTTTTTATCATCTGCCCCAACCATGGTGGAAGCAACTCCAGCAAATATTGACTGGGAGGCCCATGTTGCAGGCCAGGCAAAATTGGCGTCAATATCCTGATGATCCCCACCTGACACAAGTTGATCAATGACCGCAATAAAAGTATAGGCACCGATACCGGTGAAGATATGCCACCTGTATATAGAATCAGTCTCTCGGCCCACGAAGATCAATCGTAGAAGTACAGATACTTGGTACAACTTACCATCCGTGAAGTTCTAGCAGCCATGCCCAAGGAAGCCCAATTGCCGCTCGTGTACTTGTAAGCCATTCACAGGCCCAGCTATCAACAAGCCAGACAATATATCCAAGATGAAAGATGCCTTGATTTGGAATTAGTTTGGCTGCCCATAAAGAAGTATCAAATACTAATAAATTGACTTACCAGCCCCAAATACAACCATGCCCCAAACCTGTCGCCGAGCTGTTGAATTCTCAGTGGTGCGTTGTTTGAGTAGCTGAATAGTCCGAATACCGATGATAGCGATGCTGCTAACAAAGAACGAAGCATGAATAATTAATTCATCTGTTGTGACGTGGTAAATTATAAGTAGCGAGAGAGCCATGTAAATAGCTGCGCCCGCGACAAATGAGTCTTTGCGATTGGCGTTTACTGTCAAGACTCTGTGCAGCAGTGGGGTGGTTGTGAAAAGCATAGATAGGTCGTCCAGCATCTGAGTGTGGTATTGAAGACTGACGTGGTAGATCGCAGAGCAAAGGCCAACTGCCATCAAGCCATAGTAAGGGAGGGCGCGAGAAAAACTAATACTACGGGCCTGCTGTAATCGGCGTAGGCCGTAAATCGCATAGAAGACTAAATGGCCGTGTTAGAGCTTACACAATTTCCTAATATCCCTTTACGTACCATAACATAGGTTGGTTAAGCTGTTGATGAATTCCGCGACGTATCTTGTCACAACATAATCCTAAAAATGAAAAAAAAAAGTTCCAAGTCAGCTGCATGGATCATACGAGTCGGAGTGGGGCTGCTACCTGTTCGCAAAAGCTAGTCCATGTTAGTTGACGACCTATACGAGATGTAAGGTAACTGACTTGGCTTTAGAGCTTGGTAGGCCCCAAAAGGCATCGGCAGGGGTGTCGATTTGCATTATGGTTTCGGTGTGTGAGAAGTTGAAAATATAGCTAGAGGCACAAAGAAATAGGTGGATGGATAAAAAGAGAGACCCAAGGCAGATGCGTTGTGAAAGAAAGATCCTGATATAAGGCAACAGAATATGGAAGCTGACAAAGCAGATAGCAAACAAGCAAGGCAAGGTAAGACAATTTGGCGACCTCCTGGGTCAATCATAACAATAGGTGAAAAAAGCCACGTTGGGACTTAGAAGAGTTTGGAAGGTTTTAATAAGCCTTAATAGATATATAGTAGATATAGTAGATAGAAACTAGTTTAAAGAATATATATTATAATAATATATTACTAAAAGATATTCTTTAAGAAATTATAAGGCAAATCTATATACATTATATATGTTATAAGATTTACTTATTTATACTATTTAACGGCTCTTAGGGTTACCCGCGGCTAACCCTCCGAGGGTCTAATATCTAGGTAGACTACCCTTAGGGTCGGAAAGTTAGACCGTCGAACCGCCCTAGTAGCGGGGCGGTTCGAGGGTCGTGAGAGTTAACCGCGGGTCACTGCTAGGTCTAGGTATAGCCGGCTTGGTAGTGAAATACGTTAGGTACTAGCTCCACAGAATCTGCATTTTCATTTGACAACAGTCTAATTAATTACCAATTATATCAAAGCAGCCGTTTCGCAATTAGTTATTTCTCTGTACGCATATAGAATACCCACTTCCGCTCGATATGTATTCTAGGAACAAGGACTAACGCTCAGTAAATAATGGAAAATCTGTAAGAGTTAATGATGGGCTGCCCTCACTCCTCATAAATGAAAGGCATGGACATGGCTGATGGTGGAAGCCCTTTAAGCTGTAGGTAGAGTTACCCAGCGTGGGTATTATGACTTCCATTTTGTCTGATCGTCCTTTTCCTTTTCTTCCTGCATGGGCGCTGTGGTGAAGATCCCAGCTTAGACCCAGATTCTGGACGTGCCGCTTTCCCTGCTCCCCTAGTAACTCGCCGCGTATAAGAATCCGTGCTCGTCATTGGATATTCATTAGACGAAACAAAGGCCTCAGTGCTTGGTGGGCACGTTGAAGAGTCCAATCCAGTACAGATTATTAGCTCTGTGAAGTCGGTAATTATGCCTTCATCTCTAGCTCAAAGGGATCTGTACTCTTGCACCGAAGAAACCAGAAAAAGTTCCGGATCAGGAAAACTCTTTTCAAGAAGGCAAGTAAATTCAGTCTTGGATGTGACTCGGATTTGCACTTGATGACTCAAGAAAGGACCGGCCAGATATTTGATTCTAGATTCTACAGGGAAATGGCCGCTGCCTCATCAAAGTCTTGTCATTGCAGGCGGCACCTCGTGGTCTTCGAACGGCGTGGCACCCATCCGCCTCCATGCCTTCGCCGACATCAAGGCCAAGTCCTTCTCCTTGGTTGGCCACAGCAGCTCGGCCTTTCCGTCGCTGAGGTGAGAAACGGATCTGGTCTACTTTCCGGTAAGTCTCCATTGCTGGCGATAGTCTTGGAATACATACGAGGCCCAGTGTCAGTTTTATGATACTGTCCGCCCAGAACGGCGTGTATGTCTCTGCGGGACTATTTCCCGTCGCGGCTTGCACAATGTTGTTCGCTACCGTTGTGGCCTGGTGCATGGCAACGCGTGCATTAGGGTTGCGCACACCGGCGTCTGCGACGTCGCCGCAGACGTAGACATTAGGCAAGCTGTCATCCCTGATCTGCAAGGTTGATTTGACACCTATGTGTCCCGTCGGTGAGATAGCTTTCGGACTCAAATTAGATATGAGTGCCGAGGACGGTCTCTGGCCTGAACAGTTGACCTGGTTGCTTGGGTTAGTCATCATTTCGTCCAGGGCCTTAGCTAAACGCACCAGAAAGTCGCATTCCACCGTCCTTCCAGAGGTCAGGCTCACAGCGCCACTTCCAATGTCGTTGCCCGTTGTTCTGTTCCCGAGAATCAACTCGACGCCGAGACTTGTTAACGCCTTGGTTGCAGCAAGCTGGAGCTCGGGGCCAAAGCGATGCAAGACAGCGTCACGCGAGTGCACGAGTGTGATATTCTTCTCGGGATAGTTGTGCTTCGCATCGGCCGCTAGCTCGACGCCGGCAGCACCTCCACCGACGATGACAAGGTTCTTCGAGTCCCGGATTCTTGTCCGTATGGTTTCCAGCTGATGCAGTCCTTCCCGCTTCTCATCGGCACCCACGCGCGATGGCAACCCGTCGTTCGCCCCCGAGCCCGTGGCAATGACAAGGAAGGCGTACGGGATCACCTCGCCGTCCCTGGCCAGCCGTACGGTCGCCCGACCGACCTCGGCGACACGGTCTTGTATCCATTGCACTCTCCCCTCAGGTGCACCATTGAGGTACGGTCCGTACGGGATGAAGGCCTTGTGAGCTCCATCGACAACACAGAATCGGGGAAGGACCCACGTGAAGTGGAAGTGAGAATGGGGCTCGATCATAATAACTCGATACGGAGTGTTGGGGGGCAGTGTAGTGGCAATGATGCGAACCGCATGATAGCCTGCGAAAGACGCGCCGACGATGACAATGTTCTGCAGTTCGCGGTTCTTGCGGGGGGCTGGAGAGGGTAGAGTTCGGCCTCGAGAGCTGGCCGCGAACAGTTCGCCTAGTATCTGAACAAACATTACGATGGCGTAGATGGCGAACTTTAAGGCCAAGACGGCCTTGAGCATAACACGGGTCGGACTCCAAGCCATGGTGGAATTATGACGGGATCTGCACGACGTCGACTTGACCGATGGGCAACAAGGAGCATTTATTGCAGGCCGGATCAGATAATTTCCCTTGGCATCCTCGGACTACACGGATCTGATAAGGCCCGAGGTGTCTGCAAGACGAGGCAGGATCAGATAATTTCCCTTGGCATCCTCGGACCACGGATCTGATAAAGACCGAGGTGTCTGTACGTCTCCGGCCCCTGGGGGCAAGGGTACATGTTTCATCTGAGCGTATTATGCATAGGTCCAACCTTATACACCACTTAGGTAAGGCCCATACCAACCAAGAGGTGATACAGGGAGCATCCCTCGGTTGGTATGTAGTCTCTCGTCCTGACCCAGTTTGCTGACGCCTAAGCTCGCATCCGGGGCCCTTGACGGCTCTGATTCAGCAAGGAACGCCCATAAGGAAAATTTACCCGGGCCGGCAGTCGATTGTGGTGTAGTGGTGATGGACTAATGCGGAAGATTGTATTAACCAAGGAGTACCTTCACAGCTAAGGGTAGGTACCCTGACTTCCCACTGCGAGAATGCCATCACACGAATGCATTATCCGAGTAGAGGGGTTTGCCAAATCGGTGCAACGCTAATGGTCGAAAGGTTCGCTAGAGAGCTAAGACTCAATGATTATCTCGTGTGGGAAAAATACAGCCTATTTTACCACTAGACCATAACAAAAACCTCGGTTCCTGTTTAGGGCCTAGGGGGCCATATCCCAGTCTGACATCTCGCTATCTTGCGTCCCAATTCACGCCTTCTGTAGCTACAAAATGCTACCGTCGGAGAAACCTCAAAATATTCGCTCATCTTCACGCCAATAAAACTAAGCTTCCGAGTGGTCGGCTCGGCCATCGGGCCTTAGTTATCCGAGGGGTTTGTGTTTGGCTCGCTCTCTAGGTGGTAAACCACCGCTATTGGATCATTTTGTCTTGGCGTCGCTGGTCACTGATCCACCAACTGAGAAACTGCCCACTAACACCCCATCGATATCCCTACAGATACCTTGTATCTACCCGTAGTAGAATGATTCCTAGTCTCGGATAGCGAACTAGTTAGCAAGTCCGCTTAATAATATACATTCGCCAACCTTGGATATGACGTCCTCTCTATTTACCCGTTATATAAGTCTTGGGCAATGAAGACGACAGTCATGTTTTTACAATTCACTTCCTACCAAACGATCCTGACAATACTGCGACACCTCTTACTATTTTACCTTCTTAAAAATGAACACTCAACTTCTATTGGCATTCGTGGCCTTTGCAATGCTGGCTTATCTTACGGCGACCTTCCTTCAATGGCTTCGATCACCTCTACGGTCGGTGCCAGGGCCGCTCCTCGCACGCTTTACTGACCTCTGGTACTTAAATCAGCTGAGGAAGGGCGAGTTTGAGAAGGTCACCTTGAAGCTTCACCAACAATACGGTAGGATGGACCTGTCTTATAGCCCGAAGGATTCTAATTAATCCGTTGTTCTACTAGGCGCCATTGTTCGTTATGGTCCGAACCGGTACAGTATTAACGATACAGAATCGTTACAAACTATTTATGGCCATGGAACGCAGTTCCCGAAGTCTGAGTGGTACAGCTCGTTGCAACCTAATAAGGCTGCTTGGAACCTCTTTGCTATGAGAGATATCAAACACCACGCACAAAGCAGGCGGCTTTACTCTAATGCATATTCGATGACCTCTCTTGTTCATTACGAGCCTTACATTGATGATTGTGCTGCTATCTTCTCTCAACGACTTCTCGAGTTTTCCAAAGCTGGGACGGCAGTCAATTTTGGACGCTGGTTCCAAATTTTTGCATTTGATGTTATCGCTTTTATAACTTATGGACGGCGTCTCGGCTTTCTAGATCGAGGAGAGGACGTTGGTAATATTATCCACAACCTCGACCAAAGAGTGGAATACACAACTTTGGTTGGACTCTTTCCTCGCTTTAATCGGTGGGCACTGAGACTGAGCGCTCGTACCAGTCGTTATGGCGGTAGGAATACTTCATACATCACGACGTTTACCCAAGAGTTGATTGAGAAAGAAATGGCCTCTCCGAAATCAGTCACTGAGGTAAAAGCCCAAGAAGACACTGCAGCTATTTCGGAGACTTTCCTGTCGAAATTTCTAGCCAGGCACTTCAACACGCCTGATATATTCACTAAATATCACATCCTTACTGGCTGTTTAGTGAATATGTTTGCTGGCTCAGACACTACCGGCATTAGCCTGGCGGCCATTCTTTACAACTTGTTGAAGAATCCGGCTACCCTGGCGAAGCTACGCAAGGAGATCGACGACTTCACCATCCGTGGCGAGCTTTCGGAAGCGCCCACATTCAAGGAATCTCAGCGAATGCCTTACCTCCAGGCCGTTATCAAGGAGTCTCTACGCATCCACCCGGCGGTAGGTGTGCCGTTGGAACGATCTGTACCTAGAGGCGGTGCGACCATTCATGGGCATTTCTTTCCCGAAGGGGTAAGCAAGATCGGTATCCACGGGCTCCGTAGGAATGCTAATACTTCTTGCTCTCGTCACAGTCTGTTGTTGGCTTCAACACCTGGGTTCAGCATAGGAATAAAGCGTCGTTTGGAGAAGATGCTGACCGCTTCCGTCCCGATCGATGGTTGGACAATGATACAGAGAAACATTCCGTCATGAATAGGGGTTGGATGCCCGTAAGTTCTAGATATCAAGCATCTAGACCTGCAGCTGACTTAGTTCGTTGTAGTTTGGGTTGGGATCACGAAACTGTATAGGGAAACATATTTCCATACTGGAGATGTCCAAGTTAATCCCTAGAATTATTCGCGATTTCGACTTCAAGCTTCGAGGAACTGCTGCCGTGCCGAACGGATCCTGGGAAACTCTCAACTATGGGTTTGTAAAACCCCAAAACTTTTATTTGAGTGTAAAATCCAGAAAGTAGTATCACTTTAGAGTTTTAGTTTTAGCCTGCTTGTTATAAGGGCTTACTTCAGCCGTCGTATTCGCGATCTCTGTTTATAAATATCGAAATTCTGTTTCTTCTTTTACGACGAGATCCTCTTCCTAATTCAATAATTCTTACCGCTATCACGAGTGCCTTGTAGCCTCGTTAGCGATAGTATACATGTATGCACTCAGGGGCGAATAAGAACAAGCGTAACCAATTAAGATGGAAAAATTGATTGATTAAAAAAAGTAAGCATACGATCGAGGACAAGTTGAAATACCCCCTGTATGTGCAGATAGGTTGTTAATAAACTGAGATTGCTGGTTGAACCAATTTACCCCACAAGACGCAAAGAAATGTGGGTTCCTGTGTAATCAATGGCTTGCTAGTGGTAAATTACCACTCCATGCACTGACAGTAGTTAACTCTAGGGAGTCGTTGAATGTCAATTCTGGGGAGCTGTTGAAAGGCTAGTTGGATGGAATTTTAAAGGGTTTCCAATGTTTTAGTTGATCAAGGGATGGGCTCCTCGTAACTAGTCTCATGTCTTTTCCTCCTTCTATTTGCTCGCAATCTTTTCTTTTCATAATGTTCACCGTATTATAGGAATTTGCAACAGGGTCCAAAGGAAAGCCTATGATCATTGCGCTCGGTCATCTTGAATTCTATACTGTCGGGAGATGGTTTAAAAACAAAGCACCACCGAAGGTAGGTTCAATAACTGTACACCGAAAGATGATGAACGAGGCAATAGTCATTTTATGCATACCACATTGAGAACCAGTCAAATTGTCAAATTTTTGAATTTCTTTGACGTTTTCGGCACGTTGAATTCGCACACTGGTGAATTCGTGTGTTGATTAATCATAACTACGCCTTCTTATCCTCAACTAAATCGTGATTATAAGATATCTTCAATTATCCGATATTTCTAAGCACATCAGGTATGGTATCCGTTATGTACTCTAAGGGTCGTGTAGTGAGTTGTTGCGTAGCTAGAGATTGAATTGAAAATTGTTCGAGTCTACTAGGTAGATGAGATCATGAAAGCAGCACAATGTAATGTATTCTGGATGATAGTTGTAAAGAATGATGTAGGAGGAAAGAGAAAGCCAGTCTACTACTATGGGAACATGTGACACCTGAGAGTTCAAACACACGCCATCAGGGCAGCCTAACAATAGAAGGGGCAATTTAGACCACAGTAAACCTTGTCAAGGTTTCAAGTGAGTTCTCTGGAAGTGGAATATTCTACATCTTTGTACCAATATATATATCCTAGAGCCAGATAACGGACTTATGAACAACTAGATACATTCCTCAATTTCATGCAAGACGTTGATTTTAACGATCAACAAATGTACTAAGCGGGCTGTGGAAATGAAATCAACATCTGTAAGCTACCTTGATCATTGAGAAACTTCCGAGGTGGCTGAGCTTGAAAAATGCTAGCCTCAATCTGCAGGGGAGACTTTCGGTAACTTGGCGAGTGTTCTAGCCTTTCTGAAATTTTATCCAGCCCCTCTTAGCACGTAAGAGACATCGTGATTGCCCAAAGCTTTATTCTTTAGCGTCAAGACGGTCTAGCGGCAAACTGGATATAAGTGAATTTTTAGCTACTCAGCGGAATAATATGGTACTGTATGAAGAGAGGTGCTGTGGCATTAGAGAAGTGATATTGGGGGAACTGGTACCTTCTCAAAAGGGTAACTGTGGTAAACATGGAAGTGAACCATTTAGTAAATCGAGTGTAACTCCAGAGTGCGATAGAAAAGACCATTCCTCACATATCACCTTATCGTAGATTCACCCTGCCCAACCACAAGATCCTTCGGGTGGCTCATATCTCGGTGATCCCGTCGATATGGCAGTGGACTGAATAACTTGACCTTCCTATAAATAGGGCTTGTATATTGCAAAATTGGACCGATCTATTTACATTGGCTGTCAACACTCCTGTAACGGTACCAATTTGGCCATTCTCTTGTGATAAGGTGCCTAATCCCATACAAAGTGAAAAAATTCCAAATAACACGGTCCCACATATTTAAGCCTTGCATCCGCATAATGCAGCGCGCCGTACCTTAGAACCTGCTAAGCCTTGTACCCCCTTTTGCTCCACTGAGTTCATTGAGCTCCAAAATTCAATGATGCCCAATGAATTTACCATGGTGCTCGGCGGTTGTTTCTGCCCGGTCCTGATAAGAGGCAGCGGCCAAAACGAGACGTTACTACGCCTACATTCCGGATGAAAGGGGGGTCTAATAGCTTTTTATGTTGAACTTAGGCGCTGTGATGCAAACAAGGGGCAGCTTTTATTTATTTATTTTATTTTCCGCTGAACCGTACAATGCGATGATCCTTATATATACTTTTGGGCGCCCTAGCACCGATCTTAGACGATGCTTACGACGACTCTCAACTAAGTATGCCGATCATGGCTGATCTTATTAGATTGAGTCCACTCACGCTACACTATGCGTACTTTATTCTCACTCCTACCATCTGTAGTATCATATTCTACACTGCTCCAACGCAGATCCATGGTCTCCACTATGTTGACGCTTTGTTCATGTGTTTCAGCGCCATGACGGGGACTGGGCTGAATGTGGTACGTCTGCACATCTGATCGTATAAAACCCGGGATATATGGCTTACCTTTTCCAAAGATGGACCTATCTACATTGGGTTCTCTACAGCAGGGCACGCTTTTTGCCCTTCTTATTCTTGGCCATGCTTTTCCAATATTCGCTTTCATCTCCTTATTGCGTGCGATATCGTTCCGAACTGCGCTGAACGATGCCCCAAGCGAGGAAAAGGGTGACCAAACAGTGTCCCAAATGCCGATATTGCAACTCGAGGAACAAATAGGCTGTTACAAAGAGGATGAATTGCCTACCAAATTAATAGACAAAGCAAAAATCAGAATGGTAGTGAGGGAGGTTCAAGCCGATATAGGATTATGGAATGGCCATGAACTTTGTGCTGCCACAGACTCGCAACATTGTGACGAGACCGAGCGAAGTTCTTCCGTCAGCGTGAATAACAAAAGAAAAGACATTCAAAATTGCAAGGCACACATTCAAGGCCTAATTTCTTGGTCCAAGGGCATGATCCACCGATCAGCCAACCGTCTGTCTTGCAGAGACTCAATCTGCTGCAATGCACCAGATGGTATACAGTATATGGCACTTTGTTTAATAACTGGGCTTATTATACTATACTTCATCGGGTTCCTCATTCTTGGTATCGTGAGTATTGGCCTATGGTCAAAGTTCGTCCGCCCAGATATTCCACGGGAGGATAAAGCCTCTCCTTTTTGGGCGGGCGCTTTTCTTGCTGCATCTGCGCTTTGCAACAACGGGATGTCCCTCATTGACACTAATATGGGCCCTTATCAAACAGAGTGGGTAATTCTTTTATTACAAAGCATAATTTTGAAAAAGTCCTACTGACACAGCCCCCAGGCCCTTTCCACTTCTTGCCTGCGGCTTTCTCATCCTTGCTGGAAATACTCTTTTCCCCTGCTTACTGCGCTTCTTCATCTGGGTATTGAGAATGATGTTACCAAATAGTCCCACTTGGCAGTTATGGCGACGAACTTTCGATTTTACTCTTTCTCAGCCCCATAAGGTCTGCGCTTACTTGTACCCTGCCTGCCATACATGGTTCGTGTTGGGCACAATTATTTTTCTCAATGGCCTCATGTGGGGTGGTTTCGAGATTTCTGCGATTCATAATGAGGAGATCGGCTCTCTTGCAGTCAACTTCCGAGTCCTAGATGGGCTTTTCCAAGCTTTAGGTAGGTCCCTAGCCATTCGATGTTGGACATAACTAACACAGAAGAAAGCTGTGCGTGGTGGGGGGTTTTCTGTTGTCGCATTCGATCGCTTGCCACAGGGGTTACTCATTCTATATGGTTTGTGCCTCACTCTTCAAGAGCGCAAGGGCGGCTTTGACTAGACAATTTGCTGATTGGATTTGATTTAGTCTTTATGATGGTGGGACCTCATCTTTTTGCTCAGCGACAGTATCAGTGACTAAATATGGAGGTTCTAGTATATTTCTGCTTTCCCTGTCTCGGCCGCGATCAGGTGTGACTCCCTCCAATCTTACTAATTGGGTTTGCAGTCTGACATATTGTAGCAGCACAGAGGTTGCGGATAATGGGCCCGCAGAACACCTTCAGCAAGAACCCCCTCGCCCGCGCTTCTCAAGATTTTCCCATGGCCGCTTTGTGTACAAACAACTTCGGTCTCAATTCAGCCACGATATCTGGTGGCTCTCCCTTGCAATCCTCCTCATAACAATCATCGAATCGGGTCACTTCACAGCTGAACCCTTGGCCTTTTCCACCTTCAAGATTATCTTCGAAGCTGTGTCTGCATACAGCTGCGTCGGTGTGTCTATTGGTTATCCCGGTCAGAGTTACGCGTTTTGTGGTGCATGGCACACACTTAGCAAACTATTGCTTATCGCAGTTTCATTGCGAGGAAGACACCGTGGTCTGCCTGTCATTGTTAACGCCGATCCCTTTCTTCAAGCACGAGGTATCACTGGAACAGAGAAGAAACAGCTGGAGAAAGATAGGTATGTGAATATCCACAAAACTTCTTTTGATCCCGTTTAAAAATGATCACTCGTCTTCACAAAACTGTTATTTACTCTTGTTTTGCTCAAGCCAAGATCGCATATAGAGGTTTTATTATTTTGTACAAAATTATCAGGAATATGTTATTACGAAACAAAGTGTCATGCGAAATGGGCAAGGGTGACATAGTACCCTCCGTTGATAATGGGATTATGCACTGTGCTAGTTAACTGCAACGGTGAATAGTTACTCCTACTCAATTTGTAATAGTTTAAAGGTAACGATACTTTAATCTAATCGAACTGGAGCTCCAATCTTAGCTTTTATCACTAAGAATGGACAAGATATTTACAATCCAAGGTTGAAGATATGCATTTATCTTTGGATTATCTGCATGAAAGATTCTACCTGAGCACTCAGTGTTCGATAGACATATATGTCTGATCTTCTCAATAAAATTTAGTATCCGGAGGTAGTCCCTCGGCCTGGTCATCTCTCTATATTTGTTAGTTAGCACCGCCAAATGGTTCTGACATAGGCAGCAACAGAGCCCTTACCAGCGCATCGCCAAATCCCTTCACGAGCTCGATTTCGTGGGCAGAGCGCGCGAGCTGTTCAGGCTCAAAGTCGGTAAAGGTCGTTGCAACATCAAAGTCAATCCAGGCGAGCCTGTCAGGGTTTCCACGAACAAGGGGTATGTTTTTAGGGTGGATGTCTTGGTGGTGAACGCCTGCTTCATGTATCTCCTTCATGCCCTCAATTGCCTGGGGAAAGAGCGCATCCGAGAAATTCATGCAATTCAAACTCTCTGCGATCGGGAAGTATTCTAGTAACAGCCCCCTCGGTTGGAACTTGTCATGGGCGAAATTTTGGAAAGTCGGATGGAATAGCGCCGGATCCATTCTATCGATGTAGCCGTGGAATTTTGGAGCGACGTGGCACTCACAGACACCATACCTGACGAGCTTCTCATATGCATTGAATTCGCAGCGAAATCGGTTCAGATCACGGCCATTCTTGGCATATCCAGGGTCGCCGTTGTCGTGGAAAAGTTTCAATGCGTACTCTTGTCCATCCACTTCTACATCAAATATTGAGGATGCATCAGAACTCGTAATGTGCCCAATGGGCTTGATTGTGGAGGGATCAATTTCCCTTAAGGGGGTGCTTTTTGGATGCATTGTTGTCCTGTTGGAAATGACACTTTCACTAAGAGGTTTCAGATAGGTCAGGCAACAACCACAAACAGGGCTCCCCATGCGGATTTTGATATAATAGCTGCATTACATAAGATTAATACAGACTGTGAGTCAAGGTTCATTTTAAATATCCCTGGATGTGCATCTACTAGTACGGAGTAGTTATAATGCAAAGAAAGGGGGCAAAAACATACAACATTGAAAATTCGCTAGTGACCGGGAATACTTTCAACAACAGGCTGATATTAAATATTTTTTGCAATCAGGTATCCCAACAGTAATTCTGGATGTAGGAAAAAGACAGTTAGTTAACAATATTGGTTGGAGTGGGCGCGTTAGGCTAAAAATTGGTGCTTCAGGCAGTAACCCCTTGCCAGATGCCAGTGTTTAATTTCCGCGTTCCTCATTATTCTTCTCATCAAAACAAATACATAAGGCAGCGATCAGCGCTGCATCCACGCCAGGTGCCACAACAACGGCGTAGGTCTGCTGGCCAAACACAAGATCGCGACCGCTAAGCAGTTTCCGGTCAATGCGAGCCACAGTTTGGCCGCTCTTCTCGTCGACAATATCGGCAGTATGATCGAACCAGCCTCCTTTTATTTTGAGAGCCACTGCCTTGCCCTTACTATCAGTGAAACTGGCGGTGGCCTTAGAGCCGATCACTAGTGCAGTTAGTAATTTGTATAACATACGGAGTCTGTCTACTTTGCTGATTGGTCTTGGATCATAAAGGGCGGTACTTACGTGTGAGACTACTCTTGACCTCACAAACCTTCTTGCGGTGGGTGTCCTCGATTGCATAGGTCGAACGGATATGTAGAAGCTCCTTGACAATATCAAACAAGTGCTTGCCATGGGTGTCCTCGACCTTCTTGCGACCAGAAAGCGATACCCAGGCTCCGTGCACTTTCAAAAATGGCTCCCCATTTGCCAATTTGATTTCAAAGCTATCCCCAGAAACGGAGAGCACCTTTTCTTTCAGGACTATTGTCTGCGGCTCCTTCGCAATGTATTGTTCGAATATGGCGATAGGCTCGGCGACAGAGTCGAGATTGTGGTGGCCCAGGATACCCATGGTGATGGGTGGATTCAGTCAAAGCTGAAGGATAAAGATTGGGAATCGACTAGTTAGAGGAACGCGGGGGATATGATCACGTGATATTTACTCGCAAAATCTATGCTCCCGAGAGGTTTGCAGGGTATGCTTGCTCTCAGTACCTAAGGCCGCCACTTGCTCGATGCCTTAGGCCACTTTTAAACTACATTAAACTAGTCTCTAATAATTTTAGAGTCTTTATATTTTATACGCTTATAATTATACTATTTCGAGGATTAGAAGGAGAGGAGAGGACGTCTTTTAGTAAAATTTATAATCTAGTTTTCGCTAACCGAAAGGACTAGGGTAGTTCTATACTTTTAAAGAAGAAGATCTACTATTTATTATACTATAGAGGGCTAGGGGACTACTCTACGTAGATCTATAAAGAGAATCTATTTTTTTAAGAGACTCCTCTTTAATTTTAGTTAACTTTTATAAATTAGCGTAAGATAACTATCGCGCGGCTAAGGGTACCTTTTAGTCGGCGGAGGAGAGTCGACTTTAGGACTTCGAAATAACGCGCTACTTTATAAATTAAAAGGATTTCCTAATTCTAAAAACCCTATATAGCTAATAAGATCCTACCCTCTTACTGTATTAAATCTTTAGAGCTCCGGGAGCGTATTAGTAGTATAGTAGGTAGTTAAAGAAATAGTGGTTAAATTAATTAACGCGTTTTGGATAGGGCCGACTACTCGTATGTGTGGACCACTCGTATGTGAAATACGTTAGTTAGAGTTGGTCATCTATACCAGATATTGCTCATACATCAGCTTTCTGTCACTAAGTCTAATGTAGTTAGCTGAAATATCGTCATGAGCAGTATAAGACATTCTATCGCCCTCTAGGAACTGCTGGATGTTGAAACTGTGAAATTTTCTTGAAATTTTCCTGATACACAAATACCTTAAGAAACTTCGTCGTTTGCACCGAGGATAATATAAGATACACCTCAATGCAAACATACACCTTGGTCAGTGCAAACGACAATCCGTTTGACGCTGACATTGTGGACTCCGATGAAAACCTGCCTTCGTCTTCCCGCGTACGACGTTCGATCTGGCTTTTCCTCCTTGGATATGTATGGAAAACGGCCCTCCTAGCTATGGCTATTGTCGGATGCATCAACACACTCCGCTTAGCATGGCCCCAGATCAACCACAACAATTCCAGTATATCCTGCTGGTGGGGGGAATCCTTGACGGAGGCTATGTCCCTCAACTGTAGATTCGATAGTATTTTAGTATCCTGGCTCCCAGCACGCTGTCGAGACGATGAGCTGGCTGAGCAGTGTGACCATGCTGGCCCGGGGCCCGACGGCTCCTGGACCTTTTATGCAGATGAAAACAAGACCCAGACTCTGGATCGGAGTGGGATTGCTGCTTTGGCTGGTTCGACGACTCAATTTTACGCGTCACATGAGTGGCATGTACCCCACTGTGCATGGTTCTGGCGGAAACAGGTGCGGGCGGCGCAGACCGGGGTCACGATCGAAGAGAGATTCAAGAGCGTGTGGCACGTGGAGCACTGTGAGATGATGTTCAAGAGGAGGGGCAGTTTGGATGATATTATTGCCCATACAGGGGTAGCGCTGGGAGGGGACCGGAATATTTCCACTCAGAGGCATCAGTGAGATTTAGGGCCACAGCATTCTACCTTCACAATTGTTTGTATCTACAACTGGTAGTATTGTAAAACCGAGCAGAAGTAACCACATTGGTTATGTGTTTTCGATTGCTATGTGACTGCTCTTAGCCATTGAGACTTGGGGGAATCTGAAATCTCGCATTCAGATCTGTTCTGTTTAGCCTTTTATGTCGTTCTTGAACTCTGCAAATTAAACAGAACACCGTGATAACAATATTTACATATCGGTCCAGCACCAGGGCCCATCTGAGATTTTCAACTCTCCTCCCATCTGGAAGATCTCAACTCTGATACTGTAAATACTTATAAGGTACCATTCCGACGGTGCTTTGCCGGCTATTGAAATCAGTCATCAAGCTCTATGGGTGTATTCAAGCCCCTGGTCTCCTCCATGTCCACACCGCAGACCTTCGATTTTCGATATGTGTTCCACATACAGTATTCCCAGAACCATACAGTGAAAAGTGGAATGTTACTAAGAATCGCTAGCAAAAGTTTGACCATGTCAAATTCGGCATAAACCAGGTTAAGACCTCTGCGTATAATGTAAGAAGGTGATACAGCCCATATTCGGGGGACTTGGATTCCTACAGGAATGCGTTTATGGTCATGAAGGCCCATATGTAATGACCGAGGAAGACATGAGCAATGGATACCTGGCTCTTTTCCCTTGTACGCATGTAGTTAATGTGGTGCTTATAACCTAAGATGATTTGGCCCGGAATTAAGCCACCGAGTAGTAGTCCTAGCCATTGGTGTGATGTATAGAAATTGTTGTACTGTAGTTCGCGTTTAGTGTAAGAATATCGCATCACATATGTTCGGGATAAAACTTAGCCTTACGATATTGGAGTTTATAGAAAGGAGCAACCCAAGTAATATAGTCAGGATACAGGAGGCTGCTATCCCAAATTGAATTGCTCGATGCTGGCTGAATGCTGACGGTGACGAACAGCGGATCCTGAATATGCCAGTAGACAATAGCACCACCGCACAGAGCCCCGGTATACCGTGGAGAGTTCGTACAGCAGATTTATGAGAGCGGATCCAGGACTCAGCGTCAGAATTATAAATTCCACTGTTTACCCTAGTCTTTTCGACTTGTGGCAGCAATGGACCCTCAAGCTTGTTTGTCAGACTACTTGTCATATCTGCTAAAAAAAGACCTAAGGATCGTGAGCGGGACTTGTTAGACAGATAAAACCCCACTCGGAGCTAGGGCCGACTAGAATCACATATTCACGCACCATAATCCGTGTGCCGGAAGATAGGAAAGTTCAGGTCATCTGACCTTGCATTTTGACCGACAGCCAAGATCCACGGCCGCCTCTGTGAATCGACATGAATGGCAGCTCCCGTCCACGTACCGCAGGCAAAGCATACTAGATACACGTTATATAGTCCATTCACATGAACCACGGAGTTCAGCACTTGGACATCAGGGCCATCTTTTGCCATAATTTGGGGGGGGGGGGGTTATGACCACTGCCCCGTGTCAGCACTGGATATCAGTTTGCTTTGTGTAAGAAGTGAAATTGACCTAGTACTTCGCACACTCAAAATAGGATCTGTTCGTAAAACAACTGCTGTTAGCAACCATGAACGATAACCGCGATGATTTCAATTGTCAGTATTAACCTGTCCCCGATCCGCTCGGATACATTATGAACATTAGAGCCCCATCCATGAGCTTGCTAGGTGCAACGGCACACTAGCCTTTTCCGGACGGGAATAGCGAGGAAATGTGCATGTAAACATCGTAATCTGCGGTCGATTAGTGGTGATAAGACGTCACTGCAAGACAGAGATCTGCCTGACGGTTGTGATCCGGTGTGCAAAATTGAAGGCCAAGAGCGAAGGATGCATACGGTATGAGAGTCAGTAAAAACAGATGGTTGAAGTGCAGCTTTTTCATTGTGGACGAATCTGAATCTCCGTTAGCTTCTTTCCTGTCTCGAATGGTAAAAAAGTCAAGCATACCCTAATGATGAACTGATATTCAGTTCAGTTCATTCTCGTTTCTCGTGGGTTCTTAGACCGGAAAATGGATAGGGTAACATGGGTATCATTTGTGCTAGGACCAAAGGAGACTTAACTCCGTTATTTAGGTTTCGAAAATTACTCGGGTAACTTTACAAAAGGAAGAAGCACTCGTATGGGGCTAAATGACCCACTAGTAAAATAGGCTACTAGAAAATGATGGTGTAAGCTTCATACAGAGATATGGCCATACCCCTCACAGACTGGAGGATGACGTGTATTAACTTGAGAATAAATGGGTTAAGGACAAGGTTTTCACGAACGAGGCCGCTGTGCAAAATTCGAACCGTGCGGTCAACACGGAAAGAACAGGGCCGAAATAATCAAGGACTGCGCAATGCTCCTCCCTCGGATGCATAGCAATTCATTCCGTACCTTTTTTCCAATAGCCCCATCGGAGTACCGACGGATTAGAGTAGTTGTTTTTTTTTTTTGCCCTATCGGAGCACTAGCAGGTTACGAGTTCAACATTTCTACAATACAGCGTAGGTAAGTGGCTAGCTAGCTACTATAGGAATACTGGTCATAATTAGCAGAGGGATATACAACATAGAGACTTACTGCCTATTAGGTTGCTCCCGTGTGGGGGCCCCCATAGAATCGGAAATAGGTAGGAATTTCACTATCCCGGATACATCCAGCCTTTCGTGGATCCCCTTTTATCGGTCCTCTTCGAGAGGCAGGGGGGAAAACAAAAAGAACAGACGAGAGAAAGAGAGCTAGTTCCCTTAGAGAAAAGCTATTCCCAGCCGTGCTTAAATTACAAAGGGTAGGCAGCAACTTTGTTGACCCACTCGCCCTCTGCGTCTCCCATAGTTATTACTATATATACCTCTTCTGCGTCACGCATCACGCATAACACACAACACAACCTCCACCAAACATATTCACTCTCAAAATGGCAACCGACAATAAAAACACTTATCATCTATATTCATATTTTCGGTCAACATGCACAAATCGTGTTGTGATTGCGATGTATCTTAAGGGTATTCCCGTTGAGCATACCTACTCAGCTCGCTCGGGGAATGCGTTAGTTATAGTGGCGCCAGGCTTCAACCCTATACTAAATGCGATAAATTACGGCTCCGTATCTAACCAACAAAAAAGATATTTACGAGGCTATCTGTAACTAATCGTACACTTGCCTTATTGAACTGAAATACATTACAGGTCCATAGGAATTGGGCGTCTGCGGGCGCGGTAAAGGGGGTAGAATAAAATTACATTGCTCTAAAATTATAAAATAACGTTTGGTCAAGCACTAGCTGCCAAGTTTCTTAATTTTTGCAACGGCGGTTGCTCCCGTTCGTAACGCTTACAATAAATCGAAGTCCAATCGCGTAGCTGCTTAACTATTATCAGCAGCGGCCGCGTGGCCTTTGATCAGTAGCAGCTAGTGGCATATAGTGGGGATTGGGCCTAGATCCTCGCTTTTCTAACTGATCCCCTCTTCCTGTCGGGAACCCTCAGGATTCACAGCGCATGCAGTGGAGCCGACCCTCAGCGACGTATATCTACACCTCACGGAATGTAACTCGATTATTTCCCGCATAAATTAAGATCTTATAGTGCCTACATAGTACTAGTCGCAGCATGATGCTAAAAAAGGTACTACTACTCAGATTGGTGGGATGCGGGACGGATGGGACAACGGTGCCCGACCGACTGCATGCTATTTCAGTCTACCCGACTTTCACCCACCAATCTCTGTTCGTTATCTTCTCCCCGGGTATACCATGAGAGTACGTCGTGATTGAAATTGTAAACTAAGTAGTATAACCGCTCATAGTGGTTGCATTGGTATCCCTTCAGCCGAGAAACGCGGCGCACATCAATACAGAAGCCTTACTAGTACAACGTGTACAGTACCACAAGTTAGTGGGTTTTTTGGAGGGGGTTTTTTCTTCGGGATGAAGCTGGTCAACTATCATAGAGATCCGAGCTAAAGGGTTTATAGTAAGAAGACCTTTTTAAAATATATACTAATTATTAGTTCCTAATTATCTAGCTAGATCTATATCTAAACGCTATTATAAAGTATTAATAGCCTCCTAACCTAATAAGAGGAATAAAAGATATATTATTACTTCCTTTAAGAAAGAAACTAACTTATATAAAACTAACTAGTTATATCTAAATAGATCTTTTAATGAACTACTAAGGCCTAAGTCTAAACTAACCTTCTAAGTAACGTATTTCACTACCGAGCTGGACATACCCCCGAGCTGGACACCCCAGAACACCATAGTAAATGCGATAAATTACAACACAGTATCACAACAACATTAGGCTATAGGGACTTTCCCTTAAGAACTAATGCTTTTTAGGTGCTATCTAGTCTCTAAGAGGAGTTTAAAAAATTTCTATGAATTAGTAATTGAGATATATATAATTCAGACCCTCAGTAATGTAATTTTCGATACTATAACAATATAGGTTATAGGATTCTTTAAAATCGCTATATAGTGTTCAAAAACGTTATCAATAGCTATCGGCAAATAGCAAAAAAAAAAAAAGACGTGGTCGTTGAGTTATCAGCGTAGAATATATCGTATTTACTATGGTGTTCTGGGGTGTCCAGCTCGGGGGTATGTCCAGCTCGGTAGTGAAATACGTTAAAAGTTAATATAACTAACTAGCTCTTAATTTACTAGATATAAAGGAAATAAATATCTTTATATATACTCTAATATAGGCTATAAATAGGGTTTAATCCTTTTAGATAAAATAGATTAAATCTATATAATTTATAATAGCTTTTATAGTTATTAAAATAACGCTTTAAAGATCTAATATATCTTTAGAAAAAAAGAAATATCTATAAATATCTATAAATAGCCCTTAAGAATAGTAATTAATGGCGGAAAATAATGCAGGTTGATGGACATATAGGTATTAGTGTGGATAATGAAATACATTTATATGCAATGCGCGTATTGCTCCTATTGCACCACTAAAGTTCTTACTCCTTCTTTTCCTCTGTTGGAACCTGTGCCTCCTGCTCTGCCCTGTATTCCCTGATAGGTCCATTGGTTCCATCATCATCATTCTTCGCCTTTAAACTTTTCCAATCATACAGCACGGCACCTAGACTCGAGATAGTTGCTAACACCATACCAACCCGGAGAGCATCCTTTATTGCTGGGGCGTACACTGCCTGTACTTCTGGTGTAGTCAGAGCCGAGCCTGCGGATGCTCCATTAAGAACTCCCCGAGGGTCCAGGTTCAGGGCGATCGTTTTCAGTGCTTTGCTGATATTTCTTAGGAAAACAGTCTGCGCCACTGACACAAAGAGGGCCCCACCGAATGTTTGTGCAAAGAAGACGATGCCAACGCTGATCGCCACATCCTTTTCGGGGAGGGTTGTCTGCACTATGTAGATTGCTTGTTCCTCTTCGAAGCCGATTCCCGCTCTACACAAAATCTGGAATCCGATCCATTTAGCCCGCGAGGTTAAATGGGGCTGAACGGTTGTAAGCAGTCCAGTGCCGATCGACATGAATATTGAGCCGGCGTAGACGAATGGTGTGTAGTATCCCGTTGCAGCGGTCCCAAAGCCAGCGAACATGAATCCACCGACAACACTGAGCCTAAATGGGATAAATATGATCGCAGATTCAACGGCGGAGACACCGTTGACCAGCTGGAACCACAGCGCTGAGAGTCTTGGTTAGAAATGAGCCTTCCATCCTTCTTCATTCGGTATTCACGTATGTAGTAAGTATTGACCTAAAACGATGGAAATGTCTTGGTTAACAGGATCTAATGCGAGGTATTAGGAATACATACAAAGAACACGCCTCCGAGGCAGATACCAAATATGATGGCTGCGCCTATACTTCGCGTATGGAGTAAGCGTACAGGAACAATAGCGTTATCCTTTTTCCAGCGTTCGATGCCGTAGAACGAGCAGAACAAAGCACCCGTGATAGTTAGCAAGGCGACGATACGGGCCTTGCCCCATGCATATGTGGTGCCGCCCCGTGATAGTGCTAAGAGAAGACAGACTGTTGCTACCACAAAAACGCAGGTCCCAGCCAAGTCGAAGCTCTCGATATGGCCGCGGAGCCCGATCGGCCTGGGAGATTTGTCGGTACCGGGACTTCCTGTATAGAGAAATAGGATGAAGATCATGGCTGCGCCTCCGATAGGAATATTGATATAGAAACACCACTGCCATGTTGTTGAATCCGAAAGGGTTCCTACCTACACCAGGTGCCAATCACTGCCAGTAATTGTTGCTAATCTGGGGGTATCTCCTCATACCAGCAACGGTCCAGCTACACTGCCAACTGCAAACATACTGCCGATGATGCTATTCCATATCGGTCGTTGGTGTAGTGGCACACTCTCCGCAAGAATGAGGGTGGTGCCAGCTTGTATGCCAGCCGACCCGAGGCCTGGTAATGCCCGTCCCCCAATGAAAGCATGGGAACTCGGTGCAGTCGCACAAATCACACTCCCAATCTCGAAAATGAGCAAGGCTGCTAAGAAAACATACTTGCTGGAGAAGATGGAATAGATCTTTCCGTAGGATGGTTGAAATGCACAGGACGTCAATGGATAGATTTTGTTCGGTGATCCGTCAATTTGTGCACAATTTTCCGTCTTGGAATTGAGAGATCATGGGAGGCACGTACGAGGCATACCAGTCGATATCGTCAATGCTGTCAAAACTCTTGGAAATCCGGGGCACGGCGGTCGAAATGATTGTATTGTCGATTGATACGCAAAAGGTGGCCAGGCAGATTACAAATGATATCAAGATCACACTTGGGAGCTTCAGATACCGGGACGTCTCTACCGATTCTTGACCTTGGATTATAGTGGCCTCGACCACGTCCGCTGTAGCGACTTCATTTTCAGGGGCAGGATTGGCAGTCATCCTTGTGAACACGTTTTCACATAGGTGAGAGTGAACATTGTAGGGGCTTCAGGGGGAAAACTGCAGAGCATTCTCAACACGACCGGGGGGAAAAGCCTTGGGAAATGTTAATTATGAATGTCAGACTGGGATATACCCCCCCTAGGGCCCAAACAGGAACCGAGATTTTTGTTATGGTCTAGTGGTATAAATGGCTGTATTATTTGAACGGTGACTGGTGAATGCTACACACTTTACACTACTACGGGAGACGCTGCGAATAAGGAGAAGAGAAAGGGAAGTGAAATAATCATCTTGTATGTAGCTTCTGTCACGAGAAGGATCGAAGTAGCTCCTTGGTTGAAAGGGAGATTCCGGAGTAAAGAGAACATTAAAGTCGTTATTCAATAGGCAATCAGATTCACATCAGATTCGCTCAATGGTCATACGGTGTCTATATATAAGAGACACATGCACGTACGTACACCTGCGCTCTGGAGGTATGCACTCCGGCCGGAACTCCGCCGGAGCGGGACTTTTGTGGAGTCGGAGTTAATAATCGTCTTTTTGTGGCGTAGATTGAGGTTTGGAATCGATGCAGGGTCATCGATGGCGTCGTTAAAATAAATCTTGTTACGACTGCAGGGCTGCTCTAAATCGGGTTTTCAGCTCATACCTCAACGATAGCATTCTCAAACATTTATCTTAGTAGTGTGCATGGATGACATGACAGGCCGTGTTTGACTATGCAATCAAATTCACTAGATGACGATGGGTCTTGCCCATTCATCCAAACCGACACTCGCATGACTGGTGTCGAGTGAAGCTGTGGAGGCTGCTGAATGCTTGTTTGTGCTTGGCGGGGGACGGGAAGTGGGACCGATTCCCAAATCGGAGTACTGTCTCAAGCTGGCACAGGCAGAAGGTGAAGCAGAAAGGTGGGAGAGGGTTCAGTTCTCACCCAAACACATCATTGCCAAACAAACCAGTAAGTCTTCCTCGAATTGGCGAAAATTCGGGTCCATACTGGATGTTGGTAGGACGGAAAGATACTAGGTTCAGATTCGGGACTCTGAAGATATATAATGGGAGCGACAGACGAAATAACAGACTGACAATTGAGGGGTGGTGCATGGTTAATATACCATGTATATGCGTCTTTCCACCCTTGGAATAGGCGATTATGCCTGGTAGTATTTAATTTCCCATCCCAAACGCACCATGCTTGACACTAATTACCGATCCAATCAGGGTGCTCACGATATTGGGGCCATTTGGCATGGCGCGACTAAACCGGAAAAAGCATACACGTTGGCCGAACCCCTGCAGGTGGGAATGAGACATCCTTGGGAGGCTCAGTAGAGTTGGTAGTTGTCTACCTTGTCTACCTTGTCGGCAGGTAGTGTAAGTATTATATTAAGACGTTATCCGCCATTTTCCCGGCTCCTTCCCTGGCACAATGACCACCATCTTATTTGTTCCTGGCGCTTGGATCGCCCCGGCGTTCTACCAGCCATTTCTCCAAGCTCTCACGGTCGCTGGCTACGATATCCACTTTGCCAAATACCCCTCATTCAACCCCGAGGACCCGGCCATAACCACCTGCCAGGCCGACGCCGACGCTATTTCTGTGGCGCTCAAGTCCCTGGTGGAGGATAAAGGTAAAGATGTTCTGGTCTTCATGTACTCCTATGGCGGCATGCCTGGCGCTGCAGCGGCTACCGGGCTAGCCAAATCGCAGCGGGCGCAAGAAGGCAAAGCCGGTGGCGTCATTGGACTGCTATTCCTAGCGGCCTTCCTGGTGTCTGAAGGCCTCAGTTGCCAGGATCTTCAGGGAGGAAAGCTGCCCCCCTGGGTCTTGGTCGATCAGGTAGGACCTCTTCGCCCCCACTAGATTGAATTTGCAATTCACTCGCTGACCTGTTGCAGCCCTCGGCCAATCTCAGTATCGTGGATGACCCCATTACCTACTTCGCTGCCGATGTCGATCCGGCATTGGCTCAGGGCTTGACTGCTCAAGTCAAACCACATTCAACCGTAGCTTTCACCTCAGCACAGCCCCATCCGGCCTGGGCAGACGAGGCGTTCCAAGGGCGACTAGGGTTTATCGTCACCACTGAGGATCGTGGGGTGCCAAAGGAGGCGCAATTCGGCATGATGGCCGCCACGCAGAAGGAGTGGATCGTCAAGGAGATGGCGTATAGTCACTGCGCACCGCTTTTGAATCGGATCGACGAGACGGTGGGACTGACCCGAGAGATCATTGACCAATTCCTATGAAAGTCAACTCGGATTTTGACGTTGTGGAAAGGAGATGTTACAGTTGTTGGGGGCTTGTTGTGCAGATCACTGAGCGTTCAACGACAAATGCAACCACCCCGTTACGTTCTTAGATTGGTCATCTATGTAGATCAATGATCATCGATGTTTTAGCAATCACGACTGCCGTATAATTCCAAAGTTGATCCCCGTGCGATGCTCAGACATCCAGTCCAACTCCTCATCCTCCATCCGCCTCCCCTACAACACAACCACAATAACATTGACCGGCCATTGCGTCGCCGTCTGCTCTTAGACCATATCCCACATCTGCAAAAACGAATCGAAATCTCGCGGATACAAGCAAGTGAGAAGGTCAGGACCCCCTCGAAGACCATTTTCCTGAAATATGATGATGGTGAAACCGTCTCTGGGGTCGAGTCAATCGTGTTCAAAACGGGTTAAGATCCCTATACCTGATCTCGCATCAGCACGATCGACTTAGACTAGAAATGATCCACATTCACGGCTTGTAGCTGTTCTCGAATTATATGAAGGGCCTGTGCGCCGGTGGGAGTTCGAAATATCGCCCATGGCTCAAGACTGACTACTGGCCGACAGAAGGCTTCATAGTCATCCAAATACGTGAGGGCTTTACTGTCCACCAATTCGGCGTCATTGATAGCCAGGAGGTTTGAGTAGGAATAGTAGGTTTGTGGATAAGTGACAAATCGCACTTCCACGTTATATGGTGCTGCTAATGCGACGATGACCCTCTCGAATATCGCCTGGAGTTCAGGTCCGGTGCCATTTCCCACGGCCAAGGCAACCAGAACAGAACCCCTAATATGTGAGTCGGTTAAGGATCGGAAAAGGACGCCCTGGGACCGCGCTGCCGCCTGTCGTCTTGATCTCCAATTCTATCTTTGGAAAGAGTCCCTGCAATTTAACATTCACCCCTCCATTCCAGTTCCTCCAACCCCGTCATCGCAGACATTGCCATCTGAACTGCAATTTGGTTACTCGATGTAGCCCACTCATTCCCCACTGCTACCCTTCCCGGTTACGATATCGACCTCTCCGACATCACCCTAACCCAATTGCTGCCCGAACATCTCACTCTCCATCACTAGACCCTCTTCGATCTAGTTCAAGAGCACCTGCTAGCCTAGTGACGGTTATCAGCCGCGACTTGGAAGAAGTATGGAATCAATATTTGAAACTAGAAGTGAATTACTTCCTCCATATGAAGGCCACAGGGGCTTAATAATGTATTGGGTTGATACATGGATAGCGCCTCCTTCTCTATCTGCCATATTCAGCTTATGATTTCAAATATCCTGAGACCTCCCGGATTTAGGAGCTAGTACAAATGCGATCAGGGCGACAATAGCCTATACTCATTCCTTCGGTCAAGCTTGGCTTCAAAAGCATTCACAATCTCCTCAAGTGCAGCGGCTACTTCATGTGGTCGCGACAGGAAGGGACTGTGTCCGGATCCCTCAAGAGTGCGAACTACCCATTTCCCCTGGCCACCTGCGCCTTCTACCATGGCGTCCTGTTGTTCGGTTGGAATGACCACATCACCTGTGCACCTAATGTAGCCTAGTCTGCCAGTATAGGAGTCATCCTGCCAGGCTTGAGGGGGCACAATTCCCATATTGGCAGCCATGCTCTGAGGGCGAAGCTGCGGTACTGCCCAGTCGACTCGATCCGCCGGCACATCCGGTGGGAAGAACAAGCTGCGGGGGTCCTTCGGCTGGAAAAGACCTTCACTCGGTACGTCCCACATCGCGTAGGGCAGACCGCCAATGTCGCGAATGGCCGCGCCTTGGTCCATGCCCCCAGGAAAAATAAACGCACATAGAGCAATCATCCCGAGCACGCCTTTGTCGGAGAGCCCCTTGATGGCAGCGCTTGCAATCGGTCCGCCATATGAATGCGCTAGCACAAGGACGCGCTTGCCCATAGATGTCTGCGATTCCACGACAGACCGTACGTGAGCCGCGTCGTCGAATTGTGTCGTACCAGATACCCCACTAACGCATGGTAAGTCCACAGCCTCTATGGCATAACCGAGAGCCTCAAGTGCGGGGATTTGGAATTTCCAGCACCACGAGCCATGCCATGCGCCATGCACGAGAACGATGGTGGGCTTGGTAATTGACGACATGGGAGGGATTGTAGATAAGCAGAGTAATGTAAATCGAAGGCTTATCGGAGATTGGAAGAAAATGTGTCCGCGGTGATTGTGTTGAGGGGTAGCTTTTAGAGTAACCGGATGCGTACGAGCCAAGAGACGAGTCCCGAGTTGTAGGATAGTAACGCGATATCTTTTCGACTCCCACTGTCCCCTCTAAGATGATGTGTAACTCATTGCCATAAGAATCTCGCCCTACAGTGTACCTCAATCGATCAATCAATCAATCAATCAAGGTTCAATTAACCTGTTGCAGTCTAACTAGTTCCGTATGACTATGCAGGCGCTCATCCAACTGAAGCAAGAACTCGAACTAAGTACCTTTGTATAAGTAAGTCATACAAAAGATACCTAATTTCTAGATTGTGCGTCTAGTGACAATCTTGTATCTGGTGGGGCGCACCAATACCAGGTGATATGGTGTTAGGCGCTTGGCACGGTTATTGCACTCTTTGGATTCGAATAATGAAAGGTAAGCGGAACGGTTTATGGTCATCCACTCCATAGTGCGAAGAGAAGTTAAAAGTTAAGTGTACTTCAAAAACGCCTGTCCTATCTATTTCGTATCATCGTAAACGTCTCGGTAAGATTTCTTGACCGAGACTCATTTCTGAATCGCCTCTTCCATGGCCTTCAAGAAGCAAGCCTTATCAATAGGCCGCCCATTCTTCTGACTTCCTTTCCACGCACGTCGCTGATTGACCTTCCAGTGAGAATCACTCTTGTGTGTCACCTTTTTCTTTTCATCGCCGATATCCAGCTTCATAATCAGCAATCGCAGCGCCCAGTTCTCTATACCGCCGGCTTGCTTTTCGGTCTCTATAAGGAGGCGTAGGAGTTCGGTGTGCAATTTCCTCAAAATGGCTTTAGTTTCGGTGAAAGCTCCCCGAGCGGTGATCTCCTCCAGGAGGTACTGTTTCATCTCAAGTGTCATGGTTTCGCCTTTTTGGGAACCCTTAAACACGCTTGACAGGGCTGTGTTGGAGAAGCCGGGTGATTGCATTGATAGGATGATCGGGAAAGATAGCTTTCCTTCGTCGAGGTCGTCACAAAAGCCCTTGTTCTTTGTGTACTAAAGCAAAGTGTTAGCTAGGATTCGGGCTGCAAATCACAACATGGGGATGGCTTACATCTTCGCTTTGAAGGTTCTGATAGTCATCTCGGATCTGGAAATGTCTTCCAAGCAAGGTCGCAAACTGACTTATATCAAGGTCGCTGGAATATGTTAGTCTAGATCTCGATTTGCTGCGAGATGAGGGTTGAAATACCTATTCATCGTGGCCTCAGATTTCATGAGACGGCTGATGAGACGGAATAGGCCTCCAGTCTCTGTGATATAATCAGTCGGTTGGTGCATAAAGGTAGAGATAACAATACGTACTGCCGTCAACCATGCTGATATATTGCGTAGGGGTTGGTACATGTGTATGGTAGCTCCAGTGGAGATCGCGTCCCTGCCCGAGCTGGAGGTTACGCATTTCATCTATTCCTGTTAGTCCAAGGATCTTCGCAAGTATAGCTTTTGGGTAGCGTACCCGTGTAAACTGAGACCGCAGACGGCGAAAGCATCTGAACAAGACACAACGCTTCATTCATCAGATATGTCGCAGTATTAATAGTTTGGCCAACACCAAATATCTGATGTGCCACTGGCTTTCCGCGTCTGAGGACACTTCCATCCTGGATGTCATCGAGTCTATTTGGAGGTCAGTAAGGAGAAACAATTCCAGGTTGAGTCGGGCTCGGGTACAGTAATGATGAGTTGTGCAGGAAGTTCACTGCACCCTCTATTATCAAGAGAGACTTCACTGGCACCTTGTACCATGAGTTCAGAGCTGCTATCAATGTCTGTCTTACGTTCTTAGAAGGTAGGGAGTTAATATAAGCGTAGGGATTCAACACGGGCTGTCGATTTATAGTTAGCACGTGGGTCTCCTTGCCTTCGACGGCTTTTAGAGACAGGAACTTACTTCGTCAACTGTGGGATACCCAGCTGAGTACGTAGCTAGCACGTCATTCTCTGTGGCTGCTTTCGACACATTGTTAGTCTCCTCCGTTCAGGATAAGCATCCCGGCTGGGACATAGATTTATACTTACTTGAAGTTGTATCTTTGAGCGCACTCGGCGGAGTGTCCTTGGCCTCTTGTTTAGAGTCACGAAGCTGCTCTGGTATCGTGAAAACTCGCACAGCGTCGCTGCCATACTTTTCAAGGTGGTCTTTATAAGGATTCCGGTCGGCCTTGAAGTAACGAGCAGTACAAAGACTCCAAACCCAGTTTCCAGCCATTGAGTGCTCGAGCAGCTTCAGCCACCTCAGAACTGAATCGGACGGGTTAGACGTTGCCTCGTACTGTTCTTTCAACAAACAAAATCGCTCTTCGTGTGCTCGGATCTCGGCCTGGACAACCACCTTTGCCGCGCAGTGCGTCAGACCCTGTGTAACCGCGACAATATGTACTGCATTGACCAATGGCACTACCCCATTTGTTTTGATATGGGACGCGTATTCCTTCTCCCAAGAGAACAAGTCATTCACCAAGCATAATTCCGCATATGCGACGTAACTCATAGGATCAGCGATCTTTTCTTCCTCCGGAGTGAGGGTGATGTCTGATCCCCATCGGAAATTATACAGTGTCCAACTTCAAAATAATTAGGTTTGGTTCTCGAATGGGAAATTGGATGACATACTCTGCTGCTGCATCGACAATTCTGAACTCCAGGTAGTCATCCAGACTAGGAAATTTAAGACTTCTCACGTCCTGTACCGACGTAGTGAATGTTTGCCAGGCATTAAGGAAAAATTCGGCGAACACGGGATCCAAACGCAGGTACTCGGCCGCGATCTTGGCCTGCACCTCTGCTTTGCGCTGTGCTTTGGGTGAAACTCTGGTCGATACAGAAGTCATACCGCTCTGATTAATAGCTTGATGAAGCATCTCATTTTCAAGCGACATCTAAATAGCGCATAAGTTTTCTTGATCCGCACAAATGGAGAAGTTTCCGGCTATCATACAGCTTCTTGGTTAGCAGCATTATCGGTTTCATCTGTGGCTCGATGTTAGTTTTAGTAAATGGACTAGCGACATATTCACATACCATCATGAAGGAAGGCGTATTCCACAGTGTATGCGACAAGGGCGAATCTTTCGGGTAGACAATTTGGCGCACATAGGGAAGTAAAGTTGCCAGCGTGTGCATTCAGATTGCCGAACTTCGACCCAACAGCATCAATTCCATTGAGGTCGATGTGGCATTGGACCGAGACATGATCGGCGACTATTGTTTGCTTGTGAATATATGGGTTAAAGAGAGAGGAATATGCGGGATTGTTGGCGTAGATCTCGGGATCAATGGCCACCGCATACTCATCGACTATTTTATCTCCCATAGTCATTTGCAATTGTCACTTTGTGTGATCGAGAAAATACCAGGCTGTACAACGCATATGTATCAACTGAGGGGAACCGGGTCGTATAAATAATCGGATTGGAAAATTCAACCGTGCTGAGACAGCTAGGTACGCTAGTTTAGACCGATACTATAGACGTCCTGTTCCGATGCCGGTTTCCTCGTTTCTACCAAACGTTATACACGCAAGGAACCTTGAGACTAGGACTACTACCTTACATCCGGCAAGCCCCACAAGAAATTAACGTGTCATACAACCAATGACACTAATTGGCCGCGCCATTAACACATCAAATGTGAGACAATCTATCCTCCACCCCTACAAGGTTAAAACACGTTTTGGCCGTTCCATGCGTCTTCGAAGGTCCTATCTCGTGTCAGTCACTAAATCCCGAGTCTCACACAAATTTGAGGGTCGAATATATACCCAGTCCGTTTGCTCTTGCCTCTTTGAGTGGAATCTGAAGGATCAAAGGACAACACATCGGGCTCTTCAATCAAAGTTAATGCCAAGTTGGAATATCCACAAGTAAACCATGTGCCGCGAGGAAAGTAAAAATCCGGATTTAGTCCATAGAAAGGGGCAATTAAAAGGTACTAATTCCACTTTCCCAGCCGGTACATTTTAGTTGCATCCCGTTCGCGCAAGCGGGTTGCACCGATTAAAGGACAAGCGCGTTAGTGCATCACGGAGTATTTTCCCTCCTTATCTAGCCTAATTACAACCGGCATGCTCGGAGGGACCTTTGTAAAAACGGCTGACTTGGCCCGCGCTTGTATGTTCTAATTTGGTGAGTTGCAGCTGGGCGGGAGATGTGGATACGGTGGAGATGAGAGAGTTCGGGAAGATTCCCGGAACAGCCTAGACGAATTAAGTACGGAGCAGCGCATATGTACTCCATACACATGCAGCTATCCAGGATCTTCATTTGTATTCCCTATCTCGGATTGTCGCCGCTTTTACCAGTTTCCCACCCTGGAGGATCACCAGGTAGATGTCAGAATGGACCCAAAAACAAATGGATCGCTCATTGAGTGGTGCTTATGTAATGCAGACGGGAACCCGTGGACCCGTGGACTCCGGCGGCACCTCTATGATTACATAAGAACATTCAACCACTCGGCTAAACATCAGAACCTCCTAGCTGCAGCGGCATATATACTAAGCCCTAGACTTTGCTCGGGACCACACTTAGTAATCATGGACTATACCCAGGAGGGATTAGCCCCTTATATATCGATGTCGCCTTTGTGACATTAGACACGTGGACTCGGGACATAAGTACCATTCTTACATTTCCTGGTTTTGGGGACCTCCGAGCTAAGAGCAAACCCTATTTTTTTTGTGGCCTATACAATCCCAGTCTATCTAGGAATTAAGCGCAACAGTACTTTTTCTCTTCATTCTCACCCCTTGATCGACTAGAGTTCTCAACCATGCAATGTGGTGTTCTTGCATCTCACTAGCGTGGGACCCAGCTCATCCGATTCGACCTCCCACGTCTGTACCTGTGATTTAAGGCTGATTATTAATACCTTGCTCAGTCGGGCTCGAGAGGGAAAGTTAGACAACACCCGAGAGAGAGATAAGGTCAATAGATTGCTAGGGTCTTTCTTTCTGGGCATCCTTGATAATCACATTCAACTTCCAAGCTTTTGTGACTTAAACATGCAAAATCTTTTCGGCTTACTTAACAAGGAACTCCAACCAGGACAAGCCAGTTGAGAAACTTCTCCGGCTAGTTAGCTTTGACACTAGAAGACGAGCACTGCTATTTTACGATGCATAAAAAGAATTGCCTGTCACTAACTGAAACACAATAGCTTATTTCAACACATTATTAACCTCCCGCAGGCGTTGCCCATCGCCTTTCTTGTGATTCACTTGGTGTCGTTCTAGTGCGTCTTGTTTGGCAGTTATCCTGATCCAACTCTGATTAGTATCGTCACTATACTCTCACTTGCGTTGGCAATTGCAGCGCTTGCTCTAAGCATTTTTGACCAAAACAGAATTATCTATTCGTTGAGCTCCATACTTACGTACCTTGTTTATTCGAGGCACACTTAACGTCATCCTTTCGATTGACGTAGCCCAATCCGGAATAGAGTACTGACCAGATAGAATCAAAGGCTAGTCTCATTACTGCTGTACCAGGTGGGGCTAGACTGTGGGTATCAGGATAAGCCCTCTCGGGACATCTTGCGGAGGCTGTCGGCGGTTCTCGGTCCGTGATTATGAGTATCTAAAATCATGGGTAGCCTATTACCAGTGGAGGATGCATACCGTGGGGAGCAATGCATAGGTTGTCAATCTTGTTATCATTCCTAGAGCTTGAGTCTCGGGATATGATTTCCAAAATCAAATGAACTGGTACACAAAGCAATTGACAGTGTGATATCCAAATGATATGACCTTGTCGGAGGAAATATACACTTCGGCTGTTTTCGGTACATCGCTTCTGCAGGGTGCGAAGCCTAGAATGTTTAGTTGCGACATAATGTCTTACGAATCTAATATCTATTCAAGCCAAATCATGAAGGTCAAGGTTTCGCTATACTATATTCTATGCCCTAGATAGAGAAAGAACCTCTCAACTCAAAGTATATATTTGTTGGAAGTCAGATTACTTCCCCTGTTTGCTCCCGGTACATTTAATTATAGTACACTAAATAGTTTTCTTCCTCTCCTTGTGCAAATTTAGAGAGTTTCTAGTCTACTTAGTATTTCTATATTGTATTTCCTAGTCTTCTCTCTAACAATATTCAAACAGTGGGGTTCTTTCACACATCGGCTACAATTCCTAATGAAGCAGTTCATGAGGATACTATGTGTATATATCCATGGATATATTTATAGGTTTCGTAACCTTAGGACCAGATAGGTAATAATTTCACTATGTACCTCGTCCTAAGGGCCCAAAGAACCCACTCAGATAGGTATAATAGCTTTCACAGTGATAGTGATTACCCTATTCTCACAGCAATGACGTTCAATGAAGCTCAAATGTGTGCCAGTTGTTCTATGGGCTACGAGGATCTCAAACACTAGCGTGTAGCTAGCTAATCGTGGTTAATCAAAGGGTGTCGATGCGGTAGGTTGCTTTGATTTAAGAACATACCGAAATCATGAATTCACTCAAATCCCTCTTGGTTGTTCAAGGTAAGGGCTTTGTATACAAGGAATCACTCGGATATCACCCCCATGGACCTAATTGCCGATATAGAGAATGAGTTCCAAGAGGAATGAAGGAAGTCTATTGTTGGAGAGGTCAAAGACACCTCACTGTATTAGATTATTAGATCACAATTCCTGATCTGCAGTGACAGAATCTGATTGCGTGGAGTTAAATTATCTACGCCTCTTACTACCTCGCTTAAACAATACAGCTTGTCATGATAATTTCGCGTTTGTATGAAATTGATCTAGTCAGCCAGCGCCTAGCCCGTCTATCTGATCATGGCTAAGCATCTCTCTCTCGCACATTCAAGTTCCACTCAAGCCAGTTCGTTATGGACAGTCGATGAGCCAGCCTTTGAATCATCGTGGATATCCACCGGGATCTTATGGTCCTCACCACTTCCCACCAGAGCATCTGGGCCGTCGAAGATCACGGCAATTTGCTCCAGTGAGTACCCTTTGGTTTCGGGGTAGAAAAAGTATGCCGTAATACCGAATATCATCAGCACAACAATGAACACAATATAATATTTCCATGCAATGGCACCCAATGCAATGGGATTGACGAATGTGTTGAAAAACATGCCGACAATTGTGGAGACCCATGTGACGGTCAGACCGCGGGATCGGAGGCGGAAGGGCCAGATTTCGCAGGGATATGAGGTGAGGAAGGGGGTCCTGGCAACAGGTGGGGTTGATTAGCAACTGTGAATACGGAGAGGGGAGTGGAAGTGATAGGCAGGAAAAACTCACAAAGCAACACAATATCCTGCGAAGAAAATGAAAAGGAACGGGATGACGGCAGCACCAGTTGCAGTATCACCCGTTGTCGCGAAGGATCCCGAAAGAGCTGTGACAAGCACATAACTCACAAACATAATCACAGCCGAGGCCATGAAAAGTGGACGGCGTCCTAGCCGATCAATCAAAAAGGCTCCAATTGCAGCAAACACTAGGTCCCACATCTGGAGGCAAGCGGAAATCAGAGTCTGGTCTCGAACATTGGTGACTCCAATAGATGTCAAGATTAGGGCCAGGTAGTATGAAATCACACCATTACCAACCCACTGGGCAAACATTCCCAAGCTGATAGAAATCATCAACCGACGACGGTTGCCCGGTGTCTTGACCATCTCTGCGTAGGAACCGTTATTACTAGCCTCCCTCTCTGCCCGAATAGTGTGTAGAATCTCCTGGAATTCGTAGTTGACCAAGGGCGAAGAGGCATCCCCCGCAGCATGATATTTTGTAAGTATTTCACGCGCTTCCTCCTCCCGGTCAACCGAAACCAACCACCGAGGGCTCTCTGGGGCAAAGAAAAATCCAGGAAAAGCAACAAGTGGCACCAGCGCTTGCAAGAGTGATGGAAGCCGCCAGGACCAACCAGATGAGTAAGTCCGTGTAGCGAAGACCACCCAAGCCGCGACTGTTCCACCGACATACCATCCCGACATGAAAAGGGAGTTTAGGATCCCACGGTGGGTCGGGTAGGCAATTTCGTTGATTAGGAGGGGAACAGCGTTTCCGAACAGGGCAGAGGCGACTCCCAAGAATAAACGGGCCAGTAAGAATGCCGCGTCATTTGGTGCCGCTGTCTGGAGGACACTGCCAAGAATCAAGAAGATATATCCCACGTAAACTCCTGGCTTGCGTCCGTAGCGGTTGGCAATCCAGGACGCAGTTGGGTATCCAACACCACACCCGAGCCAGTAGATTGCGTTAATCCATCCAAGCCAAGCCCCAGCTGGATGGTCCATGAAAGTTTTCCACTGGTCGAGGGCCTCAAGGCCATTCATTAAAGATCCATCATACCCGTTGGCCGATGAGTACAACACCAAGGAAAGGATGATAAGGTTCAGATGCAAAAGATGCCGCTGTTTCCACCAAGAAATACCATCTGTTGGAAGGACAGTAGTCAGACGGTCATCTGGAAGAGCGTTGTTAGGACTTTTTGTAGGATTGACCCCCATGGTGTGGACGGATCAGATAGTTCCGGCGAAAGGTAGAAGGCTTGTAGGCGAAACAAACCAAGGGGTTGTATGAGCCTTTTATTAATCAAGGGTGATGGCTCTTGCGGCGATTTCCGACGGTCCCATTCTCACGATTACGGCTTTTCACAATTTCGTTTCAAGGCACTTCAAAAATTCCTATACCGTGTTGGTTTAGAGACAATTGATAGCGATGGAAGGGTATATTGACCAATCAATTGGATGTGTATCCACCACCATCTGGTCTTTCCCATCCCCGCTCACATGGTTCGACTGCATGAACTTCTCCGGCAGCAATTGCGGGATGAATTTTGCGGAGTACATGGGGAATGGGGTCGGCATTGAGCCAGTTGCTGCGACGCGGAGAAAAGGAGAAAAGGAGAAACGGTGAAACCCACAGTATATGTCGGCTGGTGACCAATCATATCGTTCAATGTCAACCCAATCGGTCCGCCAATATGTCGATGTACACCCCGAGAATTCGCGAAAGTGCTGCGTGACGCGCAGAACGAAGAGAAAAAAAATGGATGCTTTTTCATGGTCACTAGAGCCCGAGTTACATAGGCAGAGTGCCATTTCCTCGCTGTGAGAGATTTTAATCCTTTCCTTTCAAACACCGCTTAGACAAAATGCCGTTTATCGACAATGCGATCCATGTGGACGAATCGTTTGCGCGAATCGCGAATGCTGACATCGAGGTGATTCTCAAACAACTCACACAAGATGAAAAAGTCGCACTTTTGACAGGTGCGTATTAGTGTCCACAAAAATGAGAGATGAAGCTGACCCTTTTTCATTCATAGGCGAAGACTTTTGGCATACCGTGCCCATACCCAGACTAGGTATCCCTTCGATTCGAGTTTCAGATGGCCCCAACGGCGTACGGGGTACTCGCTTTTTCAGCAGCGTTCCCGCCGCATGCTTGCCATGCGGGACTGCAATCGGCGCAACATTTGATCGAGATCTCGCTGTTAAGATCGGGCATGTGCTCGCCGCCGAAGCGAAAGCTAAAGGCGCCCACGTTTTACTTGGTCCAACAATCAACATTGCGCGCGGTCCACTAGGAGGAAGAGGCTTCGAGTCGTACTCTGAAGACCCGCTGCTGTCTGGTGTTCTCGCGGGTCACTACTGCAGGGGACTGAAAGAGAAGAATATCAGCGCAACTCTCAAGCACTTTGTTTGTAATGATCAAGAGCATGAGCGTATGGCTGTCAGCTCTATCTTAACTGATCGAGCGCTGAGAGAAATTTACTTGCTTCCGTTTCAGATTGCGATCGCCCTTGGAAGTCCCGACGCAGTAATGACGGCGTACAATAAAGTGAATGGTATACATGTGGCTGAGAATAAGACCTTGTTGCAAGATATTCTCCGTGGAGAATGGGGCTGGGATGGATTGGTGATGAGTGACTGGTAATAATTCCCTTTTTCTGTTTTTTTTTTTTTTTTTTTCTTGCTCAATTCGCGCCGATTCAGGTATACTAACACACAATTTGTTCGGCTTCTAGGTTCGGGACATATAGCACCTCCGAAGCTGTGGTGGCGGGTCTAGATCTGGAGATGCCAGGCCCTCCAAGATGGCGCGGTGCTGCCTTGACACACGCAATCACATCCAACAAAGTTCCACTTGCTGCATTGAACGATAGGGTAAGAGCAGTTCTAAAACTCGTTCAGAAGGCAAGCAAATCAGGTGTCCCTGAGCGGGCTCCAGAGACCCAGCTCGATCGATCCGAAGACCGAGCGCTGTTAAGAAAGATCGCGTCGGAAGCGATCGTACTTCTGAAGAACGATGGTAATATTCTCCCATTAAACAAAAGCAAAAAGGTCGCAATCATCGGACCTAACGCCAAAATTGCAACCTACTGTGGAGGTGGTAGTGCTGCATTAAACCCATACTACGCCGTGACGCCCTTCGATGGCATCTCCGCTTCAGCTCTGGGAGATGTAGAATTTGCACAGGGTATATACGGTCATCAAATGCTACCCCTGCTCGGCAAGTGCCTTCATACCGAAGATGATCGGGTTGGGTTTACCTTGAGCATTTTCAATGATCCACCAATGCTGGCAACCAGAAAGCCTCTCGAACAACGTCACGAAACCGATTCGATGATCATCTTCATGGACTACGATCATCCAGATTTGCAAAAGACTTGGTATGCAGATGCAGAGGGATATTTTACCCCCGCAGAGTCCGGAACGTATGATTTTGGTCTTACCGTTCACGGTACTGGAAAGCTCTTCGTCGACGGTGAGCTTCTCATCAACAATGCCGACATACAAAGACCTGGAACCAGCTTTTTCGGCAGTGGCACATTGGAGGACACAGCAGCCCTGGAGTTAGAGGCTGGTCGAAAATACAAAATCCATGTGCAATGGGGATGTGGCAAAACCAGCACATTCAGAGTCCCTGGTGTGGTCGATTTCGGACACGGTGGATTCCGCTTTGGGGCATGCAAACGCCTCTTGCCTCAGGATGGTATCGCCGAGGCTGTTAGATTGGCTTCAAGTGTCGACCAGGTTATCCTAGTTGCAGGACTGAGCGCCGAATGGGAATCAGAGGGCGAGGACAGGTCACACATGGCCTTGCCGCCCTATACAGATGAGTTGATCTCGCAAGTGTTGGTTGCCAACTCCAACACCGCTATTATCATTCAAAGTGGCACTCCCGTGGAGATGCCTTGGGTTCACAAAGCGAAAAGCATTCTTCACGCGTGGTATGGAGGAAACGAGACAGGCAATGGTATTGCTGATGTCGTATTTGGTGATGTAAATCCAGTAAGTATTCATGCATGCCCAATCGCTCATGCAGAATAACGGCAACTGACAACCATGTGCTCTCCAAACAGTCTGGCAAGCTTCCTCTTACATTCCCTCGACGCTTGAAAGACAATCCCACCTTCTTCAATTATCGATCCGAGGGAGGCCGAGTTCTGTATGGAGAAGATGTCTATGTGGGATATCGATACTACGACGGGCTGGAAATCGATCCACTGTTCCCCTTTGGTCACGGACTTTCCTACACCAGTTTTAAGCTCTCAAATCTGGAGCTGATCAGGAACTCAGACAGTCATCTGCAAATACAGTGCAAGGTGCAAAACACGGGGTCGAGAACCGGTGCAGAAGTCCTCCAAGTATATGTTGCTCCCGTTTCTCCACCGATCAAGCGCCCTGTCAAGGAACTTAAGGAGTTCCACAAGTGTTTGCTTGAACCATTGTCGGAAGAAGTTGTAACGATTCCACTGGATCTGATTCGTGCAACAAGCTTCTGGGATGAGAACAGTGGGAGTTGGTGTAGTCACAGTGGGGCCTACAAAATCATGGTTGGAACAAGCAGTCGCGGAGACTTCTTAGAAGGCTCTTTGGACCTGAACGAAACAGTGTTCTGGTCTGGAAGTTGGGAGGTAACCAATTGATAATTGGATATTCCGCTATGGGATCATTTTCTTTTCGGATCAACACTTTACACATGTACATAAAGAGGGATCATTTATTATCTAACGGTGGTCATTTCTGGATGCGATCTGTATCTACCCATGTCTGTAGATGCATGGTGTTCATGCTTTCACTGCTGTCCAGTCGGGACAGGATCTCAGTGGACAGTTGAACATATTCGGCCGCTTGTTTTGATATGGGATCATCTGGGTGAAATGGACACGCCAGAAGACTGGTCATGATATCGCGCACTTTGTTGGCTAGATGTAAACCATTCGCCTCCAAGCTCAAACGTGGAAAGTTAAATAGAATGAAGAACAACTGGCGGCAAAGCTTTTGCCTCTCCAACCAAAGCAATCTTTGATCCAAAACCGCGGGTTGTTGATCGATATTTGTTGCCGAAACCTGACCCTGTTGATGAGATTTTGCGGCTTCCAATTGATCCAAAATGAGACTCTGCAGCCAAAGATGGGTGACGTGTAAATTTGCTCGTAGTGATGAGAGTTGCAATCGAATGGCTTTTGTATTCTCATCAATGACACCCTCGTTGAAATTTTCCGGGGTTGACTTCCATGGTTGGAGAAACGAGGGAATATCGATGAGTAGATTCTGGAGGCAATTCAGGCGCTCTTGGAAGTACAAGACTTGGGCCCGAGGGTCCTTGGCTCTCATACACGCGCACGGATCCTCTGCAGCAGTGCTTGGATGGGGGCTTCTGATCGCAGCCCAAAACACACGCGAGTGAAAAATAAAGCCTGACACTAAGCATGGCTCGGGAGTGGCATTTGCAACCACCTTGTGTTCTAAGATAAATTCATCATCTACTTCGAGCGGCATCAGATCTTCTGGATTGATGGAATTGAGCAAAACTGGATCCAGATAAGTGAGTCGCTCGCCGAGTAGATTTTGCAGATGAGCGTGGCTAGAGGATACATAACCGTGTTAGCTTCACGAAGACAAAAGCTTTTTCAAAGCTCTGATCATACTCACACGAAACAATAAAAAATAAGCCAGAACCCTTTTTTGCGCAGTTGAGTCTCAATGCAATTGAGGCCGTCATAGTCAGAAACCCGATGAAGATTCAGAAGACGTGCAATTTGCATCGCTTCTACACTGAACATACGGGCCCAATTGTGATCTCCAAGCTGTAGGTAAGCCGCGAAGAAGAGATATGGAACGGCAAATTTCTGAAAATTGAGCTCGTCGAAATACGAGGATGTTCTCAGCCCCATTACTTTCTGGTAACAGAAGTGAATAAACTCCTTGCGTGATGAGAACCTCAAGGAGTACGTATCTGATTGGTAGGCCTGGAATCTGCTTCTCATGGTAGCCACTACCAACGCGGCGATGGATAGAATGAGCGCAAGGAACCCATCATCCTCACGGTCTTGGTCCTCCTGAAGTGCTTTCCGGAAAGACGGACGGTGAACAATTGGAACCATTGGGTAGATGTAATCCACATAATCTTGCATAATCGCTTTAAACAGCCCTCGATCACAGAGGTCATCAGTCCTATGTGGAACTGTTGGAACATGATGTGCTTCTGGCCGTATCTCTGTAGGGTATCTTGATGGGAGTCAGGAAATGGCCCCGGAATTCAAGCAAACCGGTAATATGGCGTACCGCTTTTTAGGTCCTCTGATCTTCGAGGGTGAATCAAAGGTGCATGGCAAGTTTAAGCGCTCACATCGTGCGCACCGCGACAAGATATGTCCGGACAGTTGGAGTTTGCATTTTACCTTTCGCTTGCGACAAGTATCGCATGCCCGGGTTGATAGATCTGCACGAGAAGTGGATTGAGTCCCCTGTAACATCATGAGTAAGAATAAAACAGGAGAGCCAACATTTTATACGTGGAAATAAGAAAGCGGTCGATCTGCAGGAAGCCAATCGGTAGTTCCGAGGTCGTTCTCTATAAGGTCAGGCTGAGTGGGGTCAGACCAAAGATCATACTTAGTAAGCAAGTCATCCGTCTATATGCTTATGTAATGGCAAGCAGATGAGGGATATAAAGTTCTCGACATTTAATATCGTCGGCATTCCAATAACAGCTCACACATACGGTCATATTCTCACAGTCTGAAACACGCACACAATGCGGGAAGGGCCCTAGGAGACGTTCGCAGCGCTGGCATAGTTAGTTAGCTAGGTGCCATACAGGTGAAGCCTTATTTCTAGCCCTAGCTTTGACAGTACAGGGAAGTAAATGCTCGATGTGAGTAGGCGGAGGAGAGTCTGTGAGAAAATTACTGGACTGGGACGCTTGGGACGGTGGCAAGAAATGAACTGTACGTATCATAAATAGAAATGCCTTATCCAATCAATTCATATCTCCTATGTCTATGTCAATCGCCTAAGCAAATATTACCTCGTTATCGTACGATTCGTGATACCCAGCTATATATGTACATAGTTATTTTCGCTTTCAATGAAATTGGATATAAGAATAGATCAGCCCATGAAATATGTATGTTGTGAATTTCCCTCTACCTTTCCATTCATATATCCCCTATCAATCCACCAATTGTTACACTTCTTCCTGCTCCTCCGTAGTGGCAATATTTTCCGTTGGCTCCAGGATTAGCCGTAGCCGGGCGTAGCTAGTGTTCTGCTGGGACAAGCTATCCTTTGCTGTTGGATTTCTATGTGGGTATCTGCACGCTATTTCTTGATAAATTTGAGATGGCATCGATATCGTTCGTTGGTTGGCACACCAGAAGCTGGGTGTGGCAAAGTCAAACGCTGGGGAGTTGCTTCCCACTTTTCTAGGTCTATCAATCCTAGGAATGAACACTATGCTGCATGCCTACCCTATCAACAGTGTGCATAAGACTGAAAGTCGCCGTCTATATCATCAAAGACGATGCAAGGTTACAGGCCACGTTCCAGTTTTCAATGATAGCAAGCGTCAGTAGGATATACTGGATGCCCCTTTGCCTGCATATGGAAAGATGGAATGTTCTCTCGGCGATAGCCGATGGATTGGTACGGTTTCTCTGTCATGTACTATCTCCTCTGACGTAAGACTGGCCCCCTAATAACATCGGACTTAGCGAGGACTTTCCAAGGTATATCATCTATAGGTAGGATCTATAGTCAAAAATGTAGTATAGAGGTAGGGGATTCTATAGTAATCTTTCTTTGTTGTTTTCATGGCTGTAGAGTTGCCAAGAACTCCTCCGTGGTCATATTTGATGAGACTACTATTGGGGAGAAAGCAGAGGAAGAAATCTTGATATTCAACCTATGGGAAAGCAGGTTATATATCCATACCCTAAATCTAGCAAATGAGCGCTCAGTTCGCAAGCAAACAAATGGAAATGGGATCATCCAAACAATATTCTCTGTTCTTGTCCAAAGACAGTGCTGAAGGAATAAGAAAATGATTACCCACATGGATGTTTATGACAGAAAGCAATATATTCCTACTCAAAGTATATAGTTGAACAGCGGCGACCGGTCACCTATCAACTGTAACTCGTGATCGGTATACTTATTGTAAATTTCCCCTCTGGTCATCTCCGCATTACGTTTATTGGTACCGGAGCTTCATCCGTACACGTATACCAAGAAATTTAACACGCTGTTCCAGGTACATCGCATAAGCGTATGGTAAACCATCGGTCCTCCCGACGGTACAGTTCAACGTTTCCGAGGCAGAAGACCTGGGTGACACACTAGCTACCTGCCCGGGGATCGTCGGAGCATACGACGTACGAGAAGATGATACGTTCAAACCAGTGACAATATTCTCGTACAACCGCTACAGAGCACAGCTGTACTCAATTGCTGACTCAACGGCGCATAGTATACGCCTGCCTCATATCAAGCGCACCTATACCCGTCTCTTAGATTGGAAGTAAACCGTCCCGCGAGAGCTCAAGCTCAACAGCTTTTGGAAGATCAGAGCATGATTAATGACGCTGCACTACCCGTTCTTTTTGTTTTTTTTTTTTGGTACTGTTTCGCCCGTTCCTTCTCAGTAAGAAGTACCTCAGTGTCCGATTATGTCGAGTATCCGTTGATGGCAAAATATCTTAATTAGGCTTGGGAATACTACCTCTGGCGCTTAACTGAGTTTCCAGTGCTTCACGGCGGGTGTACTACTGGTGATGCTGGTCCTGTCTGAATTCTCCTCCCCGCGACTGCCTGAATGCAAGTAAGGGTTGGCCCGTCCAGTTAAATTTGTAGAAGTGGCAGGCACGGGTAGTCCCCTATCCCGACAGAGTGTTGATATTTTGATGGAAGCCATGCATCTCATCTCGACCGAGGAAGTCAAGGAGCTGGTCTCTAAGATGTACGCAGTGTCTTGCCAACAGCAAACTTAGTCACACGGTTGGCGGCTAGTCGGCGATATACATCGTGCAATTTACCAGCCAGATAAAGTGCATGGACAAGAGATGCGGGGGAGCTGGACTTGATACCAGATGAAAGCGAGCCAGAAACAATCAACTCCATCTCTCTGTATCAATCCCTTGCGTCTTTGTTCTAGCCAATACCTTATCATACGAACTGCTATCGGTGATTTCAACCCAATGTATCTCGTGGGTTCCATTTTAGGCTGTGTACCACATTATACATATCTTTTCAATTGAACCATATTAGCGATGAAAGGATATTTAGCACACCGGAAGCTGATTCTTCATCCAAAGGTTTAAGGTGCAAATTAATGAGGTGTCTGCGGGTGACTGGTGGGCCTCCGGATAACCAACAGTGGCCCGTGAATGGTTAGGTCAGCCGGTCCAGGCACCCACGTGGAGCGTGCTCAATTTTACCCGGAGGTCAAAAAGCAGCAAGAGGTGAGTCCCAAAAGGGAAGGGGCTAGGTTTCAGGAGTTCCAGCCATTATCCGATACATGCACAGCCTGCCTTAGTGTATATGCATCTCGACAGGTTGGTGTAGAAATACCAACATCCCGGTTTTATACTTTATATCTCAGTCTCGGCCAGGTGCCAATCCGATATTCTTGTGAACTGTATTCGATCGGTATACGTGGTCACTTCGATACCAACTCAACACCGCTGGACGCCCCTGGACGCCCTGGAACCTGTCACAACTTCACAACCATCATGCAAAGTTGAGTTGAAGCTCCAATTCAGCAATTCGCAATGTTCCAGCCTGCTCCAGAAATATATTAATAACCTTTTACGGAATTCCCCCGGGCACCCCGGGCATATCCCTGCCTCCACGGACATCCACATAGCGGTCGGGCAAGCCGTTTGCATCCTTGCAGAAAAGTAGCGCCGGAGCACATTGACCTCATATCCGAACAAACCTTAGAAATTGATATTCCGTGTCTAAACTGCTAGCGGGGTTTCTGAGGAATGCCACGTAGCAATCGTAAGGTTAGCTCAGGTTAGCGTTTCTACTCCGGTACTTGGTATCCAATCCCAGCTAGAGCGATTGGTAAACATTCTCAATTAGGATTTATACACGAACATAGCCCCTTGCGGTTGGTAAATTGTCTCTCTCAAACTTCGGCTGAATTTTCAGCATCAAACATATCACCATGCTACTACTGTGGTTTGGATTCTTTTCCTTTGTTTTCGGGGTGGTGATCTATCGGCTACAATTTCATCCCCTGAGTGAGTTCCCCGGGCCGAAACTAGCTGCCCTAACAAGTCTTTATGAATTTTATTACAATGTGGTTTTGGGTGGCCGGTATTTGTGGGAGATAGAAAGAATGCATGAGCAATATGGTAAGGAATTATCATTCGAAACACTGGAGATCATATCGCAATGCTAAATATTTACAAGGCCCTATTGTACGCATTACTCCTCACGAGCTTCATGTGGCAGATCCCGAATTTTATACGGAGATCTACGCTGGCCCTACCAGGAGGCGTGACAAAGACCCCAGACTTGTCCGGCTGGCAGGTCAACCCATGTCCATGTTCGCGACTGTTGATCACAGCCTGCACAGTTCGCGTCGATCTATCCTGAGCAACTATTTCTCTAAAAAGTCAATTGCAGGCCTAGAAGACATGATCCAGCGCAAAGTACAAAAGCTCGTCAAACGGCTCAACCAAGCCTGTGACCAAGGAACAATTGTACAGCTGGATGCTGCATCTTCGGCTCTGACTGCGGATATTATCTCGGAGTACGCGCATGGTGTGAGCCTTGACTACCTGGATGATGTCAATTTCAACAACGAAGTTGCAGACTCCATCTTGAGTCTTGCATCTGTAGTTCATGTGTTGAAATTTTTCCCTTTCCTTTTAGATCTTTCAAAGTTCATCCCTGATGAGGTGCTTGAAAAGCTTTGGTCCCATGCAGCCAACATCTTGCGATTGCAGAAACTGGTTCGTACGCAAGCAGCTGTCGCACTTCAAAATGAAGGCAAAGTGGACGGTCAAGTAACAATGTTCGGTGCTCTCTGTGACCCCTCCTTGCCTGCACAAGAAAGAACACTGGATAGGTTGCAGGACGAGGGCTTTTCATTGATCGGTGGAGGCACAGAGACTACAACAGGAACATTGAAGATCTGCATGTTTCACTTGCTCAATGACAAGGCCTTACTTCTAAAGCTCCGCGAGGAGCTTGAGCAATTCCCGTCTAGCACATGGGCCGAACTTGAAAGGCTGCCCTACATGGTAAGCAATGTAATATGCGATATATGCAAAGTCGAGACTAAATATTCAATTTTGTTTCAGAGAGGAGTTATAAATGAGGGACTTCGGCTCTCCGGCGTCATAACTCGTCTTCCCCGCCGTGCACCCGATGAAGCCCTGACATACAAGCAGTGGACAATTCCACCAAACGTAAGCTCCCATATTCTCCGAGATCGACAACGCTAACACGCCCGTGCACCTCAACAGTCCCTAATGAGCACTTCCACTCATTTTGTTCATACCAATAAGGATTTGTTCCCTAATCCGCATACCTTTGACCCTGAACGCTGGATCCGAGCTGAAGCAGCTGGCGAGCGCCTGGAGCATATGATTGTCACCTTCAGTAAGGGTTCTAGGCAGTGTCTGGGCAACCAGTAAGTTATACCCTGTCTCCTCCCTGTATTCCCAAGACTTACCCGGAATTCAGTCTGGCTTTGGCGGAGTTGTACCTGGTCATTTCCATGATGGTACGCAAATTCGATATGGATCTATATGGGGTGACGGCAGACAACATCGTCACACATAGGGAGTATGGCTTTGGTGTTCCAAAGGCAAGGGGTGATGGATTCAGAGTCACCATAAAACGGGTTCCTAACCCGTAGTTTACGTCTTTTGACTTCACATCTATATCGAGGGTTTCACCTTTATGCCATCATGATAACACTGCCCGATTATCGGCTCAAAATGATATTGTATATCAAGCTCATGATCAACCCTACCAAAAAGAAGACAAAGCAGCTGCCAAGCTGTAACCTCACGTGGTCAGCACAATCTATAACTGAAATCCTTGATACGCTGCTCACTGTGCTATCATCCTTGTATCTCTGGTGCTTAGTCGGAGTAACAAAGACAAGTAACAAAACCACAAGCTCAATGCCATTCTATTTTTTTGTTCGTTTCCGTTTATATATTCTTTGTGTATAATAATAGTTCCTTGTTTACTCGATCTGCTAAGCCGACCTTGAAAGGCATATATAAATCTCGAGGTCGCCGACCATATCCGATTCACCAGACCACATTGTGCTGATTCTCCTACAACTTTGCCGATCGACATCTATCAGACTATTCGTAGCTTGTTTGTCTTTCACATAGAACAATCACTTTCACAGTCTCGAACTTATGAGGCTAGCTCCGTCACTATCCACTACCATTCCACTAATCTATTAAACCGCAGCCATGTCAGGACGCAGACCGGCGTCTGAAGAGTTCCGCGACGAGCATGCTAATTTCTGGACCCTCATGCAGCAGATAATCCATGGTCTTAGAAACAACTACCCAGCAAACCAAGACGAGATCATCGGTCGTATGGGCCAGCTCAATCTCCAGCTCTCGGCCCTTCGAAGAGCCGGAGAGACGATGGGTTCAAGTTATCCACCCAGCTCCATCGTCCGCGATGCTCCACCACAGTACTTCACTGCCCGTGCTCAACGCCATCAGAATTACTTTGGTACCGAGTTTGGGTATTCCTGCTGGTATACCCAAGCCCAGCTGGGCTACACCATTGCAGACCTTCTCCACCAGCGAGATCACACCCGTGTAGCCGACCAGTTGGAACAGTTACTAGCGGGTTGGCAATTAACCGAGATGAGAGTCTTCCCCCGCCAGCTCCCTACACACAATCCGGTGCAGCAGCCGACCAGTATCGTGCATATCGACGGCCCTCCATACTATACACCAGGCAGCGCTGGACCAGTTACCAAGGCAACAAAGATTGCTGGGCCAGTTCGCACCCACCCGCATGTCAATATCACCATGCCCGCTCCAACAGATACCATCTACGGCGTGGCACGGCGAACTCGCCATCGCGCTGCCCCATACCCTGAACCGGGTGTTCGTCCGCGACGTCGTGGAAATGCTAGACTAACACCGACGATGCCTCAGATGGCAGCTCCACTTCGCAATATCGCGCAGAATGGCGTTCTTCCGGACCCAGTTCTTCCAGGTATTAACTCCCTTTTCACTCCACTCAACCTCCCCGGTGGACGTGCTCTGCCTGGTGCACCGAAGACGTCTGTGCAGCCCCCAGCTGGTATGCAGTTGCCGTCTAATGTACCAGCCCCTAACACCGGTAATTCTGTATCTGTTTTGAATGCCAATGTCGGGGAGACTTTGAACAGGGGCCCCCGTCGGGATCCTGGCGCTCGTCGTTGAGATCATCAACATCGGCGGGGTAATGGGCAACGAAATTCATTTGAGCTTCCCAATTTGGATCTTAGATCATAAATACGTAAAATTTGGTATTGAATATCGATGAGTTTAAGAATATTGGCCGTCTTCGCCGTTATTCCTTACACTGACCTTGGATTAATAGGTTTTTATACTCACCTTTGTTTTGATAGACTATCTATTGCTCTGTCTTTTTTTGGAAAAATTACATTTAGCTGATATTATTGAATGAGAACGTTTTGTACACAGAAAATTGTCGCCTGGTATATTCAGTCGCCATGGTCCCTAGGAGACATTTTCTAGGTAGCTTTAGGGTCATATAGATGTACTTCCAAGGTTGGGACCCTAGAGCTTGGTAGAATCTATAGTACGTATTCACTAAATAAGCTACCCCTTGTTACTCGGTTGTATCTCATTTCGGTTTAAAAAAAAACGACATCTAAAATATGTTTGTAGCTTCCAATCTGAGATATATATCCATTGTAGAGTGCAAGTGCAAGACAACGAGGTGATGAGTCAAGTCCGGGCAATTGAACAAATATGGCTTTGTTGCTGGTCTCACTGTATATCTATTCAGATATCTGTCTAGTATTTACCTGCCAATGATAAGTCACGCAATCTTCATGAACGGATGGCTTCAGCACAAAGACAAAGAACCTTTGTACGCCGTTTCTGATAGGGTTAGATGGGTGGTTTCGAACAGGGATCTGAATGGCTTCTATATTCTTATTCAAATGCTTTATTCATCTCTCAATAACTACCTTGGCAGTCCGGTTGTCTAGTCAGAGGTAGATAGTTGTTTGATATATATTTGCCAAGTGGTATGTTGGGCCAGGATATGACTGTAGACCGTAGACCTGTACTATATATATATGTACTATATTAATATATTAGCCTTGAAATGTACTATAATAGTAGATGGCACTATCTATCCTGTGGCACCACATCCATGACTTTCCATCTTGCCACTTTCCAAATTTGTAAGGAATCTTAACGCCACCTGGCCAGCCAATCAGAGGCCATTATAAATCAGGCCATTATCATTTCTTGGCGATCGGCCGATCCTCCGCGCATTTCCAGGCCAGCTTGTCCACTTTGCAGACCGTGACATTCTTGTTTCTTTATTTTCTTCCCTTTGATCTTCTTGAGATTGTTTATTCTTCTTTCTAGACCATCACTCAGCGAACCTCACGATTTACCACCACCCAATAGACCCTCCCGTCAAATCTTTGGCCTTCGCGCCACCTTGCATATACAACAACCGGACCACTCTACGCGCTTGATCTACATATACTACAAGTCGGAGACCAAGATGCGGTCTGCAGCGAGGCTGCTCTATGCCGCAGTGTTCGCACTTGCTGGCTTGAGCCATGCCAACGTTCATAATCTTGCACTGGACCCAACCAAGTGTGCTGTAAGTTTTGTCAAGCAAACTCGGATACTCTATACAGATGACTGACAGTCCATTTGCTTTAGCTCGAACCCTCGGCCATGGTATCGGATGCCTGTGTCTCGTATGGCGAGATCAACGGCATGAACGACCTGATTTTCACAACACTCAACTCCCTCACTCAAGAAACGGATTTCTTCTCCTACTATCGCCTCAACCTATTCAATAAAGAATGTCCCTTCTGGAATGATGCCAATAGCATGTGTGGCAACATCGCTTGCGCCGTAAACACCATTGACTCAGAGGAGGATATCCCGCTGACATGGCGCGCGGAAGAACTCAGCAAATTAGAGGGTCCCAAGGCGAACCACCCACCCCGCAATATCCAAGCCGAGCGTCCAAAAGAACGCCCACTCCAGGGAGAGCTGGGTGAAGACGTCGGCGAGAGTTGTGTCGTAGAATACGACGACGAATGTGAAGAGCGAGACTACTGTGTCCCCGAGGACGAGGGTTCCGCTGGGAAGGGAGACTATGTGAGCTTGGTGGACAACCCAGAGCGGTTTACCGGATACATTGGAGCAGGCGCAAACCAAGTGTGGAATGCTATCTATAGCGAAAACTGCTTCTTGAAGTCTGTGGCCGATGAGCTGGATGAACAGTCGCCGAACGTCCCGATGGGCGGTCTCCAGGCAGCCTCTGACTTCCGCAACGTGCTCCACAAGGAGTCGCAGCGAGTAGAAGGCCTGCCGCTGGACAACGAGTGCTTAGAGAAGCGGGTGTTCCACCGACTCCTGAGCGGCATGCATGCTTCCATCTCGACACATCTGTGCTGGGACTACCTCAACCAAACCACAGGCCAATGGCACCCCAACGTACATTGCTTCCAGGAACGACTCCTCGACCACCCGGAGCGCATCTCAAACATGTACTTCAACTACGCGCTTGTATCGCGCGCCGTGGCAAAACTCCGCAAGCACCTCGAGGGGTACACCTTCTGTGCCAGCGACCCAGTGCAAGACCGCGAGACCAAAAAGCGCATGAACAAGTTGACAGCTACCCTGTCGGAACTCCCCAAAATCTTCGATGAAAAGATCATGTTCCAAGATCCCAACGCCCTCGACCTGAAAGAGGATTTCCGCAACCGCTTCCGCAACGTCAGTCGCCTGATGGACTGTGTCGGCTGCGATAAGTGCCGCCTTTGGGGAAAGCTCCAGGTGAACGGTTACGGAACCGCGCTCAAAGTGCTCTTCGAATACGATGAAACCAAGAACGGCGAGAACCCGCCCCTACGCCGCACCGAGCTGGTCGCCCTCATCAATACCCTCGGCCGCATCTCGCACAGTATCGCTGCTTCGCGCAGTATGCAGCGAGCTCTGCTGACCGGCACCACGCATATGTTCCCCGTTCACGGCGCTGTACCCTCCTCCCACCACGCCAACGCCCTCGGCAACAACAGGCGCGTGTTCAGGGACGGCAATAACAACTTTTACTTCGAAGGTGAGGGACCCGAAGACGAGTATGTCTACGGCCGAGGCCAGGCACCAGAGCGATACCCCTGGGAGCGTAAACCGCCTAACCCAGATGACGGCTTCTGGGAGGATCTCAAGTCCGAGTGGGATATGGTTTGGGGTACGGTTGGGTATATCTGGCAGTCTTGGTTGGACATCCCATATACAATGTAAGTTTGAGATTCGATTTTCTTTATTCGGACTGATACTGACCGACTCTCGCAGTTTCGAAATCGGCGGCTCGGAAGCCATCCGATTGTATAATTACTGGCTCGGATTGCCAGTGCCTCCACGCATGTGGAAACTGAAAGCACCCCAGCCACGTGCGCATACCCAACCTGCTGCCTATGCTAATCGTGACGAGTTATGAGTTCCCTGTATTTCATCTTTGCATTGGCATCTGTACATAAGGCTCTGTGCTATGGCGTTGATAGATTTTGTCTGGATTGTTTTTTTTTTTTTGGAGTACTTTGTGCGAATCTATACTCCTTTTATCCTTCTTCAGGGTTTCTTCAGGTTGGATTACTGCAGGGAGGTG